GGCGCAGGTGCATCCACTCTTTGTGTTCTCCCAAATTCTAATCTTCTGAATTCTTCAGGTCCCTTTCTTTTTTCTCTCCAAACACATATTCCAACGGAGAATTCTTTCTTTCAATAGCTTTCGCGACAGAATGTCGAGCACTTGTATATTGTAGTAGAAAAGTATCTTGGAGAGCCAGTGAAATTTCACTGAGCCCTAGCCAAATCATCCGGCAGTTGCACCATTGAATATCGAACAAATCATCGATCCTCGTCAAGGCCAAGGACGACCAACGGGCATCAGTTAATCGCACTCCATAGACTGGTCCATGCGCAGTGGTTTTGCCTTCACTTGTATCTACTTTAACTAATATATTTCTGTAATAACATCCTTTGTGTTGTACAGCCTTCAAAACATCTGTAGTGACATTGGACCATAACCACACAATCCTCAAAGCTGATACGAGATTGCTCGGAAAATAGATATTCACTATTTAACGCGGAGAAATACCTAACTATGGGGAAGGCGCGAACAAAGAATCGAATGGGTTGGGGTTGGTCGAATGGCATGGCTCGACCATGCAGGCGTGGTCTCTGCGGAATATTACCTTATACCTTTTATTCATATTGAATATATTGTTCTTTCTCTAGCCTAAGCTTGTTCTTCATCATATATTGGTAGTTGTTACAATGTAGTGCGTTGGTGTATACGATGATGTGACTTCCACGTAAGATCTTATAGATTAGGCAGTTATATCATGACAAATCTACAATTTTAGGATTATGTCTATTATTAGAGCAGTACTAATATCATAGTAGACCATAATTATACACATCTACAGTACCCTGATACGTCAATGGGGTAATCCACGTAATGTGCTGACCGTGAGATGTCTTCGACGTCAGATATTTCGTCACACCATTCCCGTCTAACCCGAGTAGGTCTCCAATCATTTCGAAATAGATCAGCCACGTTGGTAATCTACAGTCTATTCCGATTTCCAGCTCACTAAATGTTGATGCGGCAATAGAATCAATAGCAGTTTCCAATGTCCTGACAAAATGTCTTGCCTGACTATTAGAACCAGATTGCCTGTGAGCAGTAAACAGATGTTTGCACCTTATAACATTCAACCGGGTTGTGACTTCATCGGCAGCAAAATGAGAGCCATTATCAGTCACTAACAGCATGGGAACCCCTTCTTTACTAAACACTTTTCTTAAAATTTGGATTGTGAAATCAGAATTTGGTGAAGTTGTGAAAAAAACCCTAGGCAATTTTGAAAAAGGACCAATGACCACAAGCGCACAGTATTTGCCAAGAAACAGACCACAATACTCTGCATGAATTCTCTGCCAGGCCTCAGACGATACTGGTCATGGAGCCCACTTCGAAGGTTGATTTTTCAACTGCTGACATTTTCCACAATTGTTTGGTGTACGAAATATATCTGCATTTATCTGTTGCCACCAACATGTGAGCCTTGCCAAGGACTTCATTTTCCCAACACCTAAATACCCACTATGAAAACCTTCAAGGACAGATTTACGCAATGAAGAAAGAATAACAACACGATCATTTAAACACAAAATACTATCAGGAGTGATGGATAGTTCGTCCCGCTTTGTAAAACAGATAGGAAATCTGCGTTTCAGATTGGCATTCCAACCCTTCCGTATAGCTTTGAGTATACATCCAATGTATCTACGAGTTTCTCTAATGAAATCTGGACGTCTCATTGGTAAAGGTTGCGCTAACAAACAGTCTGAAGCATCAACAGGTCTATCTTGTAATGATTGTCGAGAAATGCAGTCAACATGTTGAACTTCTTTGGCACTCTGCTGAACCGTATAGTCAAAGGCACTCAAAGCAATACCCCATCATTAAACCATAGCAGCTGAGGAACGTGTTAAAGATTCTTCAGGATGATAAATAAACTTCAATGCTTCATGACCAGTAAAAATAGTCAATTCATTTCCCAATAAATATTTATGAAGTCTTTTTACGCCCCAAAACACAGACTATGCTTCTCGCTGAGTTTGTGAATAATCTTGTTCAGTAACAGTAAGTTTGCGTGAAACACAGATAACTGATCTATCTTCCTGCTCGAATACCCACAGGTGGTGCATCAGTAATAAGCACAGAATGTACACAAGAGGGGTAAGTTCGAAGGACAGCATCACTTTGAAGAAAAGTTGGCAAACTTCGTAAGCATGACTCTGCTCCTCACTCCATTTGAACGAATTTGATGTCTAAATATTAAATAAACAATTTGTACGACAAGAAAAATTAGGAATAAAACGGGATTAGTGTTGAAGGGCACCCACTATTGGGCGTAGTTCTGCAAGATTTTTCGGAGACGGTGTATTTGTCAGTGGAGCTAGACGTTTTATATCTGCTTTAACATCATTACCATCAATTAGGTACTCAAGACTTTAAAACTAGAATAACAAAATGAACACTTATTTGGATTCACTGTAATATTCTTCTTAAATAAACGGCTCAATAAAGCAACAAGTCTTTGGTCATGAACTACCTTGTCAGAACCATGTACAATGATATCATTTTGATAACCTTCAACACCTTCAAGATCACTAACTACTTTATTCATAACTTCCTGAAATATGGCTCGAGAACAACTTAGACCAAATGGAAGGAAATTGTATTTGAACAGGCCGAAAGGAGTGTTAAGTTCCGTCAAAATAGATTAAGATTGATCTAAAGGAACTTTTAGGTCAACTTTCGAGAACACTTTAGAATCATGAAGTCGATTTAGAATATCTTCAGCCACTACCGTCGAGCACGTTTGCATCATCAAACAGGATTTCAGTGTTAAACTACAGTCACCACATATTCTAGAGGTCTTGTCATCCGGCTTCAATGGCGTAACAATAGGAGTGCCCCATGTTGAAGACTGAATCAGTTCAATTACATCTTTTGCACACAAATCTTTTAATGTCTTATGTACTGCTTCTCGAAGACCATAATGAATTACTCGTCTTTTAAGAAAGACTGGATCACACTGTACTTGAAGTTTGATAGGCTGAATTTTCATACCTCCACTGCACTTAGCACACATTGCTACCAAATCTTTAAGGAAGCATCAGAATTTTCTTTAGAAACTAAGATAAAACAACTCCACTTTAAGCCTCTTCAAAGTCTTTGAACCCAGTATCGACAGTCTTTTTTCGCTAAGTAAAAATTCACAAGCTTTGTATGAAGAATTATCGTCTCTTATTAGTAATTCACAACAACCTCGTATGGGCAGTCTGTGTCCAGTAATCCCCAATACTGATACTTCAGTGGGTCATACCACAACGTTTGGATCTAAAGATTTCAAGTTCTTGAATGAAATAATGGACTCTATACTGCCTTTGTCTACAATAATGTCATGAAATGAATCAAAGGATATACATAATCCCTTTTGAATATGAACATTACCTTTCGAAATGGTGGACAAAGACAAGTGATCATTAGGAACAGCCGAGTTATTGGGATTTAAATTACAAGATTTAGTACGACTTGAAGGAAAATGAACGGTAGTTTTGCATACCGACTGAATGTGTCCTATCTTACCACATCTAAAACATTTAGCATTAAGAAGTGCATATGGATTACGAGAATGAAATTTGCCAAAGGATTGAAATGACTCACTTTTATCACGAGAACACGACTGGTTTAATGAGAACAATTATTATTATAACCAACTGTACCAGTGCTTGGTTTAATGTGCTCTTTGTTTAACTGTGCTAATGACAGCCATATTGTGCTTCCATCTTATTCTCACATTTTGATTGTGACCTCGTGCGAATTCGGTTACGCTCTGTAACCAAGCTTGTATCCTGGCACGATCTCGGTATACTTTCGATACCACGAGATCGCCAGCAAATATATCTCGACTTTGTCTATTAAGTGCCTTCTGATATTTGACTTCCGGGGGGTTTTATGGATATCCTGATACGCGTTCCTTGGTAGCGGTGTTCATAGTCAACCGCGACTCGACACCACGCTACAGGATAAACATTTACTAAACTTGATCTCGCCTCTGTGATTTGCTTTGTAATTCCTTCTTGAGACACCTTTCATATTTATACGAGAATAGGAATCACTATTAAACGAACGCAAGTTTGATTGACCCTGAGGTTGTATTTCATCATGACGACTAAGCAAAACAATAGAAATTTTCATCGACTGGACATCAAGTTTATTCACTGCCTCGTAGTTAATACACGCAGCTCTATCATTTTGAAAAGAACAGTTCGGTATTTTTAACAGCTCTCTTTCCAAACCCGATGTGTTAATTCCTACAATTAATCGATCTCTCAGTTGCACATGAAGTTGATCACCGAAATTACATTTGGCAGCTTGTTTCTGCAATTCAAGGATGAGTTCCCTAACCTTTTGGTCGTTCTCTCGAATCATCTTATGAAATTTCGCTATTTCACGGCATTCAAAACTGGTGCATTTTACATGATTTAATATTAGTTCCTTAAGAGTTGCATAAGGATGTGAGATAGGCGTTTTTGGTTATGCTAAAGTCTTTAATAAGCTGTATGCTTCCTTTCCGATGAATGTCAGGAAATATTCCACAATTTTATCACTCTCAACATCTTTCTCGGTCATGCTCCAGATTTCAAACGTTTCTAAATAATCTTCAAAAGCTTCAGAAGTTGAATGAATATCTAACTGTTCCATTGCAGGCTCCATTGCGACGCCAATATGATAATTTGTAGTATTTGAATTATAGCAAAAACTAAGAATATTAGAAATAATGCAATGTAACCAGGAAGTGCTAGATAAGCACGAACGAATGTACTGTATTTGGAATTCGAAAGCAAGCATTCAACAAGTACCAAAGAATTGTTAGTTCATAAAAACAACACACATTTTAATGGTGTTTTTTCTTTTCAAGGCATATTGCCAGCCATCAAGATTTGGCTGACTGTGCTTTTTTTTGTAACCTAAGTAGCTAATGATACTTTAGAGGAAGTTGTTTGGCCACGCCTGTTCTATTATGATCTGACAGTGGGCGCCTTTTTGACATTTTTGGTACATGTTGTGGATTGTTCACGTGTGTCCGTAATTTTGTGTTTGTAAGTTGGAAGTTATACGTTCGAATTCCTAACGGTAGGGTTGGGTGGTGTATGTTTTAAAATTTGTGTGTAGACATATCAACTGATCATAATTTAAGACTGAAATTTTCTTATCATATCTGTCCACTTGATACCCACTACCTGAATCACGACATCCAATTATGACAATTCGAATTGTAGTAGTCTAGTCAACACTCTCAGTGAACTATTTAACGCGGATAGCTGGTGGTAATAAGTCGTGGGTAATACTTTTGTATTCGTCTGTTCAGCTATTACACCTGAATGTATTCCTTTGTTCATTAGATCCACTCGACCTTATTCCCATATATCCTGAGACTAATTAGTCGACCTTTCAAGAAAGCCTACCTTAGAAGGGTTAAAAATCACTTTAAGGGATTACGATTAGTACTTGGTTAGGAACTAGGTAATTTATTAGGAATTTATATGATCTGTAATGGCAAAATGCTATTTTACATATGGATAAATGGATGACGCATCAAAACTATGGACTTGCTGTTTTGATTTGATTGGTTTTCCCATAAATTGTATTCTCAACTTATCAAAAATTATGAGCCAATAACTAGTTCTCATAAGTTCTTCTGTGTCATCTATCTTAGCCATTTTGTAGGATGAAGCCGATAATTGATTCTGAATCGGTAAAGTTGAACAAAAAAAGCAGCCCTCAGAATATCAAGAAAAAACTTTTCAGACAAGATGGTACAAACAAAAGTGACATAAAAGTATATATGCGTGTGCATTCAAAGAAGAAACGGCAAAAGTACATTAAATCTACAGTCGAGGATAAAACGACTGAATCTGAACAAAATACTCTTTTGACATCTGGTCTCAAGGTGGACAGCCAGTCAGAGGAATCTGATCGCTTAAGATCAAAGAAGAAAACTCGGAGGGAGAAAAATAAAAATGTAACAAAGCGTTTGCCCGAACATCCTGATTCTATTATGAGCAGTAAAGGTACGAATCACGTAAGATAAATATAATATATGGTTGATAAATTTGAGAAACACCTGTTAAGCCAAATACATTAAAACATTTGTTTAGGAAGGTGTAAGGTTCGGAACACTTATGATCAAATTATCTTGATCCTTCTGACGGGACTTAGTCCTCTGAGCTTCATAACCACCAGTCCGAGCTAAAAGTCTCCACAATCGCATTCTTATCATTTATGGAGTTGGAGTTACAGTTGTTTTCAAGACAAAATTAGATTTTAAGGTTGGTGATAAAAATAGTGAAATGTCTAACTAAAGTTCTTCGCATTCGTTTTTTCTCATTGTTACAAATCTATTTATTTTATTTATTTATTTGAATACATAAATATTGGTACAAGAATGCGCCAAATATATATGCGCCACACAAAACAATAAGAATTTAAGGGGACGGAGAAAAAAAAGAGATTGATGTAAGGTAGTGTAATAATAATGATGGTAAAAATGGCGGAACAGACAGGTACAATCAGAAGAAATCTTTCAGGTAAGGGAGACACAACCACTTTTTATGAAGAAAGTAAAAGGTTACAGCAGGATCGCCACTGGCTTCTATTCTGAGCCATATCTGATAACGTCTCTAGCCACTGTGTAGCACCATCTCTCGGACCCCAACCAGGGAGTCGTGAAGGACCAACACAAGCCAGTCCTTTGCAGCTTTCTTTCATGCCACGACACCATGTCATGCACTGACCACCTCTCCGCTTCTTCCAACCAGTCCCAGAGTCGGCAAATAATGCACGACGTGGAATTCTCTGGGACGACATTCGGAGAACATGTCCAAGCCACCGAAGTCGGTGTTTCAAGATGGTGACACCAATTGAATTATCATCTCTGTGCCCGAACACACGATGCCGAACCTCTGCATTACTGACATGGTGTTGCCACTGAATGTCAGCAATCCTTCGGAGACAGCGATGATCGAACACAGAGAGTCGTCTAACGTCCTCAACTCGGAGAGGCCAGGTTTCACAAGCATAGAGCAAAACTGCTCTCACCGACGCGTTGTAGATCCGACCTTTTACAGCCAGACTAACATCACGAAGGCGCCAAAGGTGGCCCAGATTGGCATAAGCCGCTCTGGCTTTCACTATACGTGCATTGATCTCATCACTCACACCCCCACCAGCACTTATGCAGCTACCCAGATACACGAACTTCTCGACTACGTCTATCTGCTCACCATCCAGGGTGAGTACAGGATTAGAATCCTGCCAGTCTTGTAGAAGTACTTTGCACTTCGAAGGTGCAAAGCACATACCATACCTACGGACACTGATTGCCAACTGATTAAGTGCGGATTGCATGCCTTGGGCATTATCGCACAGTAAGACAATATCGTCCGCATACTCAAGGTCGAGAAGTCTTTCTCCAGGCAACAGATCCACACCACCATTACTTACATTCATCAGAGCTGTTTCCAGAATGTCATCGATGGCAAAGTTGAAGAGGAATGGTGAGATTGGGCAACCCTGCCTAACCCCACTGCTCGAATGGAACAATGGAGAGAGGTGGTTGTATGCCCTCACTCTGCCTGAGGTGTTTTTTTTATAGGGCTTTTAGGATGTTAATAAACTTCTCAGGCACACCCTTCTTCAATAGACAATCCCAGAGAACAGTCCTGTCCAACGAATCGAAGGCAGCCCTGATGTCAAGAAACACTACGATTGTTGGCCTTTGATAAGTATGGCGGTGTTCTAACATTTGGCGGAGGGTGAAGATATGATCAATACATCCTCGACCAGAACGAAACCCAGCCTGCTCCTCGCGAGTCAATCTTTCTCGGGTTTTGAACAACCTACGAAGTATGACGGAAGCCAATAGCTTGGACGCAATCGGAAGTAGACTTATCCCCCGATAGTTGTTACAGGAACGACGTGAACCCTTTTTAAAGATAGGGACAACTATCGACTCATTCCATGACGTTGGTACACTCTCTAGTTCCCAAACCTTTGTAAACAACGTCGTCAATTCCTTAGTCAAAAAGTCACCACCATCTTTAAAAAGAGCCGGAGGTAAGTCATCTGGGCCAGGTGATTTGTAACGCTTCAAGAGTTGGAGTTCCTTGCGGACTTCCTCCTCGTTTGGTGGATCAGTCGTCACCGGCCATGGAGGGCAGGACAGTCTGACCGATGTTGCCGGAGCAGCAGGCCAGTTGAACTGCCCTTCGAAAAATTCTGCCCATCGTCCAAGACGTCGATGGATGTTAGTGATTGGCATCCCATCATCCTCGCAGATTGTTTCACTCACACCAGACTTCTTGCTGCCAGTGGCTCGGATGAGCTGGAAGAGCTTCCGGTAGTTACCAGATGCAGCTGCTGCTTCCAGCTCATTAGCACGCATCGACCACCAGGCTTCTCGGTCCTTACGCAAGCTTTGCCCAATTTCCTTACGTAACATCCTTCGTTTATGGTCAAACTCACGGTCACCCGGAGTAGACCGACGGGCTTCAATGAGTTGTAAGGAACCAGAAGAAACCCAGTGCTTAAAAGCGGGACGTTTCGCAAACCCACAACTGACTGTTCCCGCCATTTTCATGGCGTCATGCAATTGCAACCAATGCTCATCTATACTTTTCGGTGGAGTGGTAGCTAGCCTAGAGGCTAGCTCGGTTCGATACTTACTTGCAACAGAAGTTGCAACCAGCTTGCTAACATCAATCCGTTGATGGCGGTCACTTCGTTGTCCACTGAAAAGTAAGGCAAGATTGGCGCAGACCAAGGCATGGTCAGAGTCCAGATAGGTACTCCAAAAGGAGCGGCAGTCTTTACACAACCACGCCAGCGGTAGCTGATCGCGATGTGATCAATCTGAGTCCAGGCTTGAGATGCAGAGGGAGGACGCCAGGTGGCACATCGGCGATGACTGTGCCGAAAGTTAGTGCTAGCCAGAAACAGGTTGTGGTCTGTGCACAGTTGCAGTAGACGGTCCCCGTTATCTGACCTGCGACCAACGAGTCCCCATCGGCCACCTAAACGACTCTCTTCTGTGCCTAGACGCCCGACCTGAGCATTCAAGTCTCCGGCTAGTACTACAATATCTGTCGAACGCACTTTCTGGAGAAGAACAGATAACTGGTGGTAAAACTCATCCTTGATTGCATCCGGGCTGCAATCTGTCGGGGCATAGGCGGAGATGACGAAAAGACATCGTTTCTCACGCCGATTTCTTCTCACTTTGATGGAACTTTCTAATCTAACAGCACATAACCGACTGTTAATGGGGATCCAATCGACTAGTGCTGCCTCAGCTCTAGCGCTTAGTGCGACACCAACGCCAGCAAGACCAGACGAAGATGCCACAGGGTCCCCGGATAAGCGCACGTAAAACAAGCTTTTCGAAGCGACAGATGGAGATCGAATTTGTAGTACTTCGCCAGAGTCTTGAATACGGGTCTCGGATAGACAACAAACATTAATATTAAGACTTTCCAAAGACATAGCCAGCCCTATCTGTTGTCCGACCTGCATAAATGTGCGAACGTTGAAGGCAGCCAGTTTGAATGGTGCACGTGGTTTCAGAAAAACTGCTTCAGTACTCATATTCGGTGGTAACATACAATTTTCAACCGGACAGTGACTCGAGAACGTTTAGATAGAGTCGAATTTCCACCGAAGACGAGCTGCTGTTTAAACCGAAAAAATAAGTATAGACGGAGTAGGAATAAAAGAGGGTGAATAATGATGTAGTAAATAATAATAATAACAATAGTAACAATAATAATTATTATTATAATAATAGTAATGATAATAAATTGGATCATTTGACTGTTATTCGGAGCGAGAAATGTAGTTTCCATGGATATGGAGAGTTCATCATTTGCGTATGGGCTGTGATACTGCCCGGGTGCCCAGACCGAAGCAGGCGTGTAGTTTTAAATGAAAAAGTGAATAATCATCTGGTGTATCCGGTTAATGACGTTGCCTCTGGGAAAGGATTTCCAAGTCGTCAGTGCTACTATTACTAGAAATGTGTTCATACATTACTTGGCAAAGTAATACGTGGAGGTTATTTGACAGTTAATTGCTTTTCCCCTTATAGCAACTCATATGTTCCAAAACTTAATGTGATGAATGCATTTTCAAGGTGGTATAAGGTTTGATCGGTCATTATATTTGGCATCATATGTCCAAGTTCAGTTAATATTATTTTACTTGACGTCTTACTAAATATATATCAAGATAAATCACATTATGCTATTTTAAACATAATTATTGATCGCTCTCACAGACCATTGTAGCGTAAGCAGTCAGAATTGTCTATCTCTACTCATCACCAACCTACCCAAACATATAAATTATTCAATGCTCAAAGATGCCATACCATCGGCTGCACGCTTGCATCTGTTCAGGAAATCTGGAAAGCGTTTAGCGTTTGCCAATTTCTATACCATGGATGACTATTCAAATGCCATTAGTCGTTTGGAGGGACTTGAGTTTGACGGGGTCAAGGTAAGATAATATCAGCCGAATTCCGGTTAGCAATAAATGTTTCTTAAGAGTTTTAGACTAAGTTACTTAGTTTCTAACATCATCGTATACAACAAAGGGTTTGGTTTTATAAGTTGAGTGGTCGTGATGATTAACATTAGTAATGGATTCCAATCCTAGTGTGGTTCTTGTTTTCAAAACTATTTGATTACTTTTCTGAGCCAGCTACTCCTCCTTAGACGTAGACCGCCGTCCAAAAATCTCCAAGTAACTTTGTTCTGGCCCCTCCTTCCTAGTTGTTACCAATCAGTATTCATGGTCGTGATGCCTCTGATTAGTAGCGTTGGTCTGCTTCCTTTCGTTTTGGCTTAAGTTAGTGTTTACATTGTGACACAGTATAGTAGCCTTTGCAAACTTTGTTCTGTTGATTTTCAATATCTGTCTAATTTCTTCCTCAATTGGCACATACCTTTACTTCTGATAGGATGAGTTTTTTATGACCATCTGTAGTACCTAGTGTAAGTGATCGTTTATGAATACCTGTACTTTCTTGGTGGTGATCTTGTCAGGATTATTTTGACGTTAATGTGGAAAATTCTATGATATTGGATGAGAATCCTTTTGAGCTCCGGATATTCTTCAATTGTAGGAATGTTGCTCTTACCCAACTAACGCATACCTTGGGATCCGCATTAGACTATTGATTATTAGTGATACTACCGAGGTGCGTAAACGTTTCCAACCCTTCCAGAGCTTCGCCATCAAGTACGATTTGGTTGATTTTCCCTGTATCATGTTTTTGGGGATCTCGCTTCTTCCCTTGTGAATATATAGACCTACTTCTACACTGGCTGTCTTCACCTGCATTTGCTGCTGTACATGGAATAGAAGGGCTAGGTCATCTGCCCACTGTATTGTTTTTCGTGAGATTTGGAGGTCTCATAATTTAGTCAACAACCAGGAGAAAGAGAAAAGATGAAAGTAGACAGCCTTATTTTTATCTGAGTCTTCACTTGGAATACATATGTGAGCTGTCTTCCATGCAAGACTTTTCAATTCAGTTCCTTATATGAATTCCGTATGTTAGTGACTATTATCCCAGGTTTCAAAAGGCTTTCCCATCGACACTGGAATATCTCCCCCATAGTCAAGGAAGTTGAGTTTCATTCAATTTATTGCTCAACAATGACCCACAGTGTTAAGATCCGGTCTGTACATGACCGATCCCTACGAAATACTGTTTGTTGATTTCGAAGTTGAACGTCTATTGAAGCTTTCATTCGGTTTAGCAACACTTGAAAATTTTGACTGGGACTGATAAAAATGTGCTGTACCTGTAGTTCTTACATCCACCAATATGAGGTGTCATTCTTTCCTCCCAAATCTTCCTAAACATAACATTGGCCATCTTTTCAGTTACTACCATAATTGACTCCAGTACTTCGTCTGGCATGCCGTCTGGTCCAACAGCTTCTGGTCTATTCAGTGTGCTCTGTCCACCTGGTTGGTTTCCCTTTGTTCTTGATTGGTCGATCTGGTTTCTTACACTTCTCGCTAACAGAGATCCACTCCAGAAGTGTTCTGCGCTTATAATTAATACTATGCATACACCTGCCAGTTCACGAGAACTAGCCATCGGGTCGCCAGATACGCGGAGGGTGTATCTCGTCGGATCCTCGTTTTGCGAGGTGAGGTCAAGTAAATGACCACACTAGGATCCTGTGTTCGTGTTCCCTCGCGAAGATTGTTAGGTGTTTTCCTGGACATTTCTTCAGGATAGACTGTATTATCTGGTAGAACAGGTCTTCATCATCTTTACTGACATCATTGATGGGTGTGTATCGGTGGGCAATATTCATTACAATGTTTTCTTTTTTGCTTTGGAGTATGTTTCGATAATTCTGTCGCCTTAGGTCTCCCATCTTATAGGCGGTTTTCGTGTTTTTCTGGACAGCATCAGTGCAACTCGTGTATGTGTTGCGCTTTCTTCCTTATGACGAGAATACAACAGTTCTGCTGAAATGAAATGCTTTCTGTCCAGATTGTGTACATGTAGTTTTACTTATTTCACGCAGATCTGGCTTGTGTATTGTCATTTCTGTGACTTTAAATGATCCGGTTTTTCGCGCAATCTGGACATCCCACACCATTTATTTGTGCTTCTCTGATCGACGGAAGTGGCGTTGCACTTGTGTCTGGTTGTTCAGCAAAGATGTACTACTATAATCTGATTATGATGAGTTTATTGATCAAGTATCAAATAAATTCTCCACTTCATTTCAAAAATATCCCCGTATGAAAAGTACGAATGGCAAATCAAATCTTCCTACTAAGTTTACTGTTTTACTTTGAACCAAAGTTCTTTATGGTCATCACGTTAATGTGAAACAATACTTAATTATTTGAAGATATGCTGTACTATCAATTGTGTCTCACGAAAATGTAAAATTCATTTTGTTGGGTGTTTGAGTCACGACCTTTAGGCTAGGTTATTTTTTTAAGGAATGCCTAACTGTATGGTAACGCGTCTACATATACAAAGACGAAAAACATGAATAAGGAAACAGTATGAGATGCCTTTGAAATCACAGTGTGGAAAAGTTTACAACTCTGATATTCAATGGCAAGATGTTAAAAGAGCTCAGTGACCACTAGTTAAATCACTGCGTTTAAACAGATATTTCGTTTAAAAATCCCCATATTAAAATACTAATATATGAACGATGATTATTCTTTCCAGTAAATTCTCTTTGGGTTCTGCTGTAATTTTTATTTGTTTTACGAACAATCTTAAATTCACATGCTATGGTTTTATATGATGTACTTCTCTTAAACGTAGTCACTCTTTGGATTATTAATTTGAATGTGGAACTCAAAGAAAATTTATTGGAAAATAATACTCCGTTCATATATTAGTGCTTTACTTATCCCTTTTTTCGTCTCACTCTAAACAGTTGGCCTTCACCACATAAAGCTTAAGCTACGATTTAGTTTAAGAAATTATGAAGTTGAATAACCTCACTAGAAAAAGTGGTTTCAGATTATACGCTAATTTCTTATGATGATATTTTTATTTTTACGTAATCTGGTGTGTATAACCTGACCGATTCAAGGACTATTCTGCAATGTTTTAAAGTAGCATCATAAGTTGTATCCTGTTAGTTCTACATTTAGATTTTCTACATGATTCTCTCTGGTATAAAATTTTACCGTTTCAAAACCCCTTTGAAAAAACTTCCCGTCTATAGAGATAATATGTGCAAACATTCTCGTTGTGATACAATAGTGAACAGGACTTTGTTAACTTGAGTTACTTTTTTCATTTTTTGTCGCAAATTATTTCGGGAAGAAAGCACATCAAATCACTAATCGATCTGTAGATTACGTGTATTCAATAGTCAACGACCACTTATTTTGTGCCACAATTGCTTCATACATCAATACGCAAACACTTGAAAGAGGATATTACCAAGTAGTTTTATTTCCATATAGTTTTATGTTTCGTTTTAACTGTTATATTCTTTTACCGATTTGTTTATTATGAAAGCCGTTGTTTAGGCAAGTTACACGCCATGAAAAAACTGAAAAGAAAAAACCTCAGAGTGGTGAATTGAGGCTGACTATTCATAATTTACCATACTCTATTACTATAACTGAGTTAGAAGATGAATTTCCTACAGCCAAATCAATCATAATAAATACGAAGAAAACTGGAGTTAATAAAGGGTAAGATTTAGATGTTATTCTTTATAAATTATGTTTTCCATGTTGATACTCAGATGATAATTCTAATTTATATTGACGCTAAATTGGTACAGTCAAAAATCTAGTGATTCATTAGTATATTAGTTCAGAATAAATATAACAGCGCTCTATATCTCGTGGAAATTTCTTTAAAACTCTGTTGTATGTTTCTGTGTGCACATTTTGGTATCTCATCTTATCTTGATTTCAGTAGTAAAATGAAGTGAAATGCAAAACATCAAAGTCATAACAGTTGCCGCAGATGATGGTAGATTACGCCTGCTAGTAAAACAAATATTAACAGGCGATTGTCGATAAAAAGATTTGTCTAAGATAAACTAGTTGGTAGTATCCTCAGTAAAGACTACTGGCACAATAAATACAATTTTTGTAATGCAGATCAATGACTATCTCCGAAACTTCGATTACTGTTCTGATGAACCAACTTTGACTACTTATTTCAAACACTTAAAATAATTATAATATAACGAAAGTCGAACGAAACTCCAAGCTTGAATAAAATGACTCCAAATTTCCTACTTAGTTTGCATTCGAGACGCGAATTTATTTTTTGGTATTAAAATAAGTTTTGTTTCGGCTAAGTTAGTTAATGAAATCGTGAGACTGGGAAACAGTTTATATCCATTCTTTCAACAGAATAACATTCGAACACTCTAGTTCCCGATCTTTTGGAAAATCTCAGTCAGTTTCATGACCAAAAGGTCAATTTGCCACCATCCCTAGAAAGGGTTAGAAATAAGTCATCTTGACCTAGTGATTTGCGGAGCTTCGACGGTTGTAGCTCCCTGTGGACTTCCGCCTTGCTAGGTGGATCAGTCGACACTGGCCAGGAAGGATATGATAATCTGATGTTACCGGAGCCGCAGAATAGCTGAACTATCCATCGTCCAAAACGTCGGTAAGTGTTATTAATTGGCGTGACATCACAGATTTTATGCACAATTCTGGGTAGACTTCCAATTTAATCCTCTTTTTTGAATGATGTTTACCTGATTTATTCACTGGCGTAAATGTTGTCACTGAAGAATTGCATAAAAATATTTCACTGCTCACTATGATGCTGCAAGTAAGTAATCTGAAATCTTTAGGTTTTTTCGACTTTTTCACCTAGTATTCGAATTTCATAGTTTATTTCTAATGGTATTTTTTATTTTTTTGATTGGTTTATTAGATCCTGTTTACTTGAGTTTGAATGTCATGATGATCTTCAAGTTGTTCTGGATGCTTGTCAGAATAAAGTGATCGGTGGTCGCCGTGTATCTGCCTTGCCCGGTCTTCATTTTGAAATTAAATCCGAAAACACTAAAGCAAATACTAAAGAAGCCACTACATTTGGCATAAAAATATGCAAAATGTCTACATCAATAGAAGATGATCGACTTCGACAGCAGTTTCCATTGGGATCCATAATTGAATATTGTTCAGTGCCTACTAGTAATCCATCATGCAGGTAATACACATTTGTTCATTTTTGCGCCAATTTCTATGCACATGTGTAATGTTTATATTTATATGCAGCTGAATCTCTTGTTCCAATGCATTGTTCTTTTTAAAATTTTATGTATATCACCATCCTCCATTTCTAGCGAATGTCTCTCTTTTTTTCTTCAGAAATGTATTTCTCACTCTCAGGAACAATATATCTAATCAATTAATTGTTAAAAAACTTCGTAGAAAAGGTATCGACCAACATCGCCTGCACATACAATCATGGTGTAAGTGTTGCTGTATTCACGAATAAATAATATGATGCTAGTAATCGCATACAAGTATACACCTGCTGTGTAAAGTATAATGAATTTATTAGAATGTATAAATCTTGGCTAATGAGATGAGGTTCTGACCTGGGCACATTTTATTGTTTAAACCAATCCATCACATCAAGTTTCATGGAGCAACTTTTAGGTTAAAATAGGATCTTAATTTTTGAAAGTTTGTTGGGAACTCCAAACATCGTACATTAAGTAGTATAGATTAGGACAATAAACTAGTAATATTAACGACCAGTACTCGTTATATGTATACCATACATTTTGTTTTCCTCAGCTTATTGTCTTAAAATCAGAATTGCTCAGAAATCTGTGGCAATAAGAAATTTTCTAATGTTACTCACAATAAAATATTCAACCTAGTGTATATTTTGAAATGACGAACAAAATTATCGAGTTACCAGTTGTTTAGTGGCAATTATTGTTCTTCACATGCCATCTTGTTTGAAATAGTAGGTCCCATTCATTTTTGATTACTTTCGACCAGTTGAGCGACAAAACTTTTGTATTCAGTTGTTTTTTATTGGAATTATGGTGTTTGATTAAGTAATTATTGGCCCGGTGACTTCAGTCAGCCAGTTATCTATTTTTTCAATAATCTGTTTAATAATTTGCTACGTATATTCATATGTACATTTTTTCACTTCAATATCCTAAGTATATATATTTACCAGTAAATTACAAATAATTACTTGATTTTTATGCTTCACTTTATTTCTATGCTCAGACAAAAAGGACTTCAAATCTCAAAAAATTGAGCTAAAACCACCAACTGACGGTAAGCGTTATGTTTACGTACTAGTAGTGAATTATTTCTTTTGAAAGTATGTTTCTGTTCAGGTTTCTATTAATTTTGTTAAGTGATCAACGTTCAGTATTTCCAACATTTACATTTACATGAAGCTTGCTAGATACTCATAACATTCTATATATTTGTCAGTCAGCTACAACGTAGGACGAGGCACATATATACATCTATGTATTTGTACTTAGTAAATATCGCGAAAGCATATTAGCAGTAAATCCACGTCAAATCAGAAAAGAAAAGCATTAAGTATCTTTTTTCTAATAGTCATGAATGACTTATTTTATCGACACTACCTATCTCCATTTCCTTAAATTCACCTAATTAAAAAAACCATTTACGTATAGTTTAAGTCAATTAAAGGAGCTTCTAATTATACAACGCTAAATGTTGATTTTGATATTTACAAAACATTAATTGAACTAGCATTCTTTGTATGTTCTGTTTGGTAGGTAACAAAAACAAAATTGATGAACCGAAATTAAAGGCGAGTGGTTCAGCTGAAAATGGTGAAATGACATTTTCAGAATCAGGTAAGGAAGAACTTTTCTTCTCCCTTGAGTGTTTTGTAGTGAGACATTGGATAACTTTTCATCGTATGTGCATCTGTGTTGAGAGAATTTCCAACTTAAAGTGATAATGTGGTTACCTAGCTTGTTGGTTAAATCGTATTTACCTATAGCTGTTAGTTCAATTTGTTTAGCTTGAATGGGGACTTGTAGAATTTTCTTACCGCCATTAAACTCACAGTTGTATTCTAAAGTGACTGTATTCTTTGATTTTTGTTAGTACTTAGTGTGTTAATCCCAACACACTTCTTTAATTCTGTTAAATATCACTTAACTTACTTTAATGTTGTACTTACCTGAATACCATTGATGAAACACCTAATGTAGGTGTATCCTTTTGATAACAACTAATATTAATTGAATTAAAAACCATTAATCTATATTTTCAAGTCTCAATAATTTGGCGGCAATCCGTTGCAGGATATCGAGAGAAACAACAAGATTGAAGTTTTTTAACACTGCTAGAATGATGACTGCTTTCCTCGTCATATTATTAAAACTGTACGTGCATGTAAAATACCTCCTTTATTAAAAAATCTGCGACTTATCACAAAATCCCAAATTAAATGCACCAAGGAACTTATTCTTATACCCAAAACAGAACCCCTTGGTTTTGACAAAATTGTTATGGATTTAAATATTGTATGTCGAATCAAACTCATGAAGACATTAACCGAAACAGTTGTAAAAGAACAAGAGCATGACGTCTTTCCTACTAATCCAGGAAATTACATACGGAATTTATCGAGTAAAAAACAGTCGAATTAAAATGGAAGCGCTTTCCCTTAGATTTCAATTTCATATTCTGAAAAAATTTAACAGAATCGACACCGAAATGCAATTCGAGTATTTATATCAACACTTGTCAGGCCTAAAACCCATGAATGATGTAAAACAAAGTTGGTTGAAATCAAAATTAGTGGATATTACAAATCAGTGAGTTACGACACCAGTTCAGCAATCTAAGGTGTTGACTTTAGATCATCAGAAAGCATTGAAAAAGCTTATGAAAGAAAAAACAATATTGCTACTTCGTCCATATAAGGGTTCCGGTGTAGGCATCCTAAACAGAGACAAATACATTAGCAAAGTAATGTCCATTGTGAATGATTCCACGAGATTTATTGTCGAAAGACTTAACAGATGCGACTGAGAAGCGTCTTTTAAAAAAGTTGAGAGAATTCTTGAAGAAAAATCTAGTCGATAATCATACGTACAATCAACTCAAACCGAAAGAATCGCAATTATCTTACTTATACGGTCTACCTAAAATACAAAAATCTAACATCCCGATAAGACCAGTATTATCTATGACCAAATCGTCTTTCCATAGACTCGCCCGCTGACTGAATAGGTGCTTAGAACCAATCCTCAGGAAACTATCACCCTACAGTCTGAAGGATAGTTCCAAATTTGTACAAAAACTTGACAGCTTAATTGCTTCCGATAAATTCATGGTCTCGTTTGATGTCTCATCACTCTTCACAACGACGATCCCTTTGGAAGAAACGGCAGATATATGTGAATATCCTGAACTCTTGCCTTTACCAATCCACGAATTCAAACAGCTCCCGTTCCTGTGTACCAGAAACATACAATTTCAACTTAACAGTGTGTTGTACCGCCAAATTGGTGTAGTAGCCCTCTGAGTCCAACTCTGGTCGATATATTTACGGGAAACCTGAAACAGAGGAGGCTCAAGCACGCAATCGATGGGACTACACTACTGTAGATATGTTGATGACACATTACTCGTCTGTAGCAATCATATGCATTCTATGAACCTACTCAATCTGTTTGAGAAAGCACACAAAGATATAGATCTTATTATGGAACACGAAGTAGAAGGTAAATTCCATTTCTTAGATATTGGAATCAGACAAACCTCAAATGGGACATTACAAAGACACATTCACCTCAAAAATATCTGGAATGGAATCTATCTCAATTACAACATTTTCCGTCCAATGAGTTACATAAAGGGTATTGTACGAACCCTTTTTGACTGTGCGCGCAAAATTTGCTCAACGGAATGCCTGAAAGATGAAATTTCTCTCATTACAAATTACTTACGTGAAAATGCATATCCCGTAAAGTTCATTGAGAAGTATTCCAAAACCAACCTTCGGGTCAAATACGATACAGTTGAGAAAAACTGCTTCTTATACTTACGCTTCAGAGGAGATGAAATCATCTATGTCAATTGTTTCACATTTTATCTTACCTCAATGTAAAATCTCAATACATATTTAGTTGTAAGGAGCTAATGAGAAACCACAAAATATAATGAATTCATATTATTGTCCATCCATGTTTGTTCTGGCTTTATTTAACTTCATATAGGGAACTAATTGCATGAAATTAATCTATATCATTGACGGTAGTAATGGTTAGAGTTATAAAAATTATCACTTGACACCAATTCCTGTTTAACTCCACATTGCAATTTTTAGTGTAAAAATGAACTTTTCTAGCGTTGTTGTTCTGATTTTTGACAGACAGTGATGTTTTAGAAAAAGGCTTGACTTTTCCTTTCGAAACATTTAACACACTTTATGTACGATGTCCCGCTTTGAATGTTCAGACATCACAGTACATGTTTATCATAAAAGAATTTGTCAAATCTATTCACGTATGTTTATGTACTAATCCTGTATCCTTAAATTTCTTATTGATTAATACCGAAAGAAGTTCACATTTCAGCTAAAACGTTCTAGGCTTTCATCAGCTTCTCTAATGTTTTCTTAGTAATAGATGATTTTTGACACACTCCTTTACCGAATCAATGTTGCAACGATAATGTATTATGCTTGATTGTGTCTATTCTCATTGTACTTTGTTCAATAGATAAAAAGAATAAATCAAAAAAACAGAAACTTGAAAAAATGGATGTCTCTTTGGAGAATACTAAACTTGTGGCTTCAGACTCAGGTGAATACTGCTTATTTGCATTCTCTTTTGTATACTTTAAGAATCGTAACGACCAACTATCTACTCATCTTATTTCACTAGAGAAGATTTACATTTAGCAGTAAAACAATGTAAGGGATTGCTACAACAAATAGACAACTTACGTAACAGTTAGACATATTGACGTAAAATTTTGCATTGAAGTACATCCACTCAACTTATCATGCACCGAAATCGAATGAATATTAAACAAACCAAAGAGAACTGAAACAGGTGATTCAAGAAAACAATATAAGTGCTACAAATTTCAAGGGTCAAATAGGGTAGTGAATAAATTTGTGTTATTGTAATCAACTCATGTATCAAACCATTGATTTTTTTTCATGATATGCAATCTGGAAATTAAACCTCCCAAATGATTCAAATTGTGGGTTTTTCATTTTATGAACTAATGGTGTAATTTAGTACGAAATCTTTGATTCCAACTTTTACTGTGACCACCCCATAGTATCCAGTAAATTGGCTTCACGCATGTGGTTCACGATCCTATCACTTCACTTGACATGGACCAACAAACTTATCATTTAACTTGTCACTCCTACTCAGACTGGTCCTAATGATTTACTTGAAAAGTAGAATACTGTATTGATTTATATCGAGTTGATCACTGAAAATAATTTTACTTCTTTTTCATCTATCTAGCCAATAAAAAGCACAAATTGAAAAAACGGAAATATGAGTGCGTAGACGTAAATATGATCGATTCGCATTCGTGTAAGTAAATAATCCGATGTTGAAACGGTCGTACTTTGCATTTAATGCAGTTGCTTTTTATCCTGTGTTTCTTGTAAGTACTTACATGAACGAAACAAATACAACACAGGGGCTCATTAAGCGTTGATATATATGACAGTTTTCACTTATGTATCCACAATGTTTTTATTTTAGCCAACACTCCACAGTCTCATAAGAAAAAGGAGTTCAAAACCAAAGAAAGGAGTCACATCGGTGACAATCCAAAACACATAGTATTCGATCAAGGTAGGTACACATAGTTTACTTAAATGTGTTAAATTACCTGCTTGCAAAATTGAATTTGATTTTTATCTGTATCAATATGTGCGCTTAAAAGATAATCATTTTTGTTCTGTAAATGAACTGTTATCACATTGTCTCGAACAGTATTTCGTGTAAAATTAGAATTTTTTGTGTTGATAATGATAATATTACTGAGGAATATGCTGATATAAACTTGATTAAGAAGCTGTGAGAACTACTGCACGAAAACTAGTTTTACTTATCATTTGACAATATGAATGAGACTTTGCAACGAGCTTCTAAAGTCCCATCAAGCTAGTAAAAATGATATATCGAAGGTAAATCAAACAAATATAGGATACCCTTTATAGATTACTTTCATAACGTATAGGTTTCTTACTTTGAGACTATTCCTCAGTTAGTCAGTATACATTATTGTCGTAGTTCATTCATACTGGTCCTATTAGTTGTCTACTATAGCTCATTCATCGCAGTAAATTAAATAGCATTAATTCAACTACAGTTATATCTATTGTTTTTTGAAATAATGTGTTTACTATTTAGTTGAACACTAGCCACAATACAACGAAAAAAGACCTACTTTTCTTCATTAGATTTTGGTCTATAAGCACTCTTTATTACACTTTACTCTAGTGAGATTGTTCTACTTAAATTATAGAATCCGATTGGACCGATCAAAAGTTGTTAAAGTAGTAATTTGAAAAATGATTTCCTGGAAAATATATATTCCATTTACAAAGCTTCTATACTTAAGTGATTGCGATTGCGCAATGCCTTGTATTCAGCCGACATTTTACGTAGTTATATCGAATTCGGTTTGTCAGTGGTAGACACTTTTCACTTTTGTACTTTACTGGACAGTACCCTCGGAATGATCTACTATCAGCTTAGTGAATAGTGCTCACTTTAGTTGAAAGTGATTAAAATTCTTTCTACACATTTCAAACTATTTCGTATATCGATGTTAGCGCTTACTCTCGTTACATTTTTTGTTACAATCAGTGATTATACTGACCATATGAAAAGCAAAATTTATTGATACCGACTTCTCCAGACCATAAAAACATGAGTTACTTAGCCGCATAGTTGCAATTATCGTTAAAACGAATTGTTTCAATGATAAACAGCATGAAACCTGACACAATTTTCCGTCGGACCCATTTGGTACACACAACATCTGAACAGTGAAAGAGAGAAGAAGAACAAGTTAAGCTTGGAAGAATCGTGTTGATAATAGGAATTGAGTTTATGAAAGAACGAATGACAATGCGGATAGAAAAGCTAAAGAATGTATACATCTACACTAATTCAACCTATTTCGAGCCACGAATTAATTGCAGTTTTTTGTTTCCTTCTGAGCAATTTTAGGTATGTTTGTGTGTAAATTTAAATTCTTGGGGAAAGTCTATATTGTTTCGCGAATTCAATTTTAGAATCAATGAATCTTGCGTTCTTGACAACTGATGTTCAAGAGAAATTCAGTATTCTTCATACATGCACACACCTACAAGGTATTGAAGTTAACCTTAAAAAACATCGACTTAGTTTCGAGAAACCTAGAAGTATATTTCAAAAAGCGATCCCCTAAGGACTAGTTGCTCCAATGATGAAAATTTTCCGTTCTTATGCCCCCCTAATGCTACTTTTACAGTCCATGACGCACGATAGTAATCTTACAAATCACCAATAATTTTAATACTGGTATTTACTTCGATTTCAGCTATATCTAAGCAATTATTTGGTAGATTGTGTTTAAATTATAATTGTTTTCATGTTTTCTGATCTTTCTAGATGGCTATTATATATGTGTGTGCAAAGGAAAATAGTTAAAATCTATTAATATTGTTACAAATTTACACAATACTAAGTGTTGATTTTGATATTTACAAAACATTAATTGAACTAGCATTCTTTGTATGTTCTGTTTGGTAGGTAACAAAAACAAAATTGATGAACCGAAATTAAAGGCGAGTGGTTCAGCTGAAAATGGTGAAATGACATTTTCAGAATCAGGTAAGGAAGAACTTTTCTTCTCCCTTGAGTGTTTTGTAGTGAGACATTGGATAACTTTTCATCGTATGTGCATCTGTGTTGAGAGAATTTCCAACTTAAAGTGATAATGTGGTTACCTAGCTTGTTGGTTAAATCGTATTTACCTATAGCTGTTAGTTCAATTTGTTTAGCTTGAATGGGGACTTGTAGAATTTTCTTACCGCCATTAAACTCACAGTTGTATTCTAAAGTGACTGTATTCTTTGATTTTTGTTAGTACTTAGTGTGTTAATCCCAACACACTTCTTTAATTCTGTTAAATATCACTTAACTTACTTTAATGTTGTACTTACCTGAATACCATTGATGAAACACCTAATGTAGGTGTATCCTTTTGATAACAACTAATATTAATTGAATTAAAAACCATTAATCTATATTTTCAAGTCTCAATAATTTGGCGGCAATCCGTTGCAGGATATCGAGAGAAACAACAAGATTGAAGTTTTTTAACACTGCTAGAATGATGACTGCTTTCCTCGTCATATTATTAAAACTGTACGTGCATGTAAAATACCTCCTTTATTAAAAAATCTGCGACTTATCACAAAATCCCAAATTAAATGCACCAAGGAACTTATTCTTATACCCAAAACAGAACCCCTTGGTTTTGACAAAATTGTTATGGATTTAAATATTGTATGTCGAATCAAACTCATGAAGACATTAACCGAAACAGTTGTAAAAGAACAAGAGCATGACGTCTTTCCTACTAATCCAGGAAATTACATACGGAATTTATCGAGTAAAAAACAGTCGAATTAAAATGGAAGCGCTTTCCCTTAGATTTCAATTTCATATTCTGAAAAAATTTAACAGAATCGACACCGAAATGCAATTCGAGTATTTATATCAACACTTGTCAGGCCTAAAACCCATGAATGATGTAAAACAAAGTTGGTTGAAATCAAAATTAGTGGATATTACAAATCAGTGAGTTACGACACCAGTTCAGCAATCTAAGGTGTTGACTTTAGATCATCAGAAAGCATTGAAAAAGCTTATGAAAGAAAAAACAATATTGCTACTTCGTCCATATAAGGGTTCCGGTGTAGGCATCCTAAACAGAGACAAATACATTAGCAAAGTAATGTCCATTGTGAATGATTCCACGAGATTTATTGTCGAAAGACTTAACAGATGCGACTGAGAAGCGTCTTTTAAAAAAGTTGAGAGAATTCTTGAAGAAAAATCTAGTCGATAATCATACGTACAATCAACTCAAACCGAAAGAATCGCAATTATCTTACTTATACGGTCTACCTAAAATACAAAAATCTAACATCCCGATAAGACCAGTATTATCTATGACCAAATCGTCTTTCCATAGACTCGCCCGCTGACTGAATAGGTGCTTAGAACCAATCCTCAGGAAACTATCACCCTACAGTCTGAAGGATAGTTCCAAATTTGTACAAAAACTTGACAGCTTAATTGCTTCCGATAAATTCATGGTCTCGTTTGATGTCTCATCACTCTTCACAACGACGATCCCTTTGGAAGAAACGGCAGATATATGTGAATATCCTGAACTCTTGCCTTTACCAATCCACGAATTCAAACAGCTCCCGTTCCTGTGTACCAGAAACATACAATTTCAACTTAACAGTGTGTTGTACCGCCAAATTGGTGTAGTAGCCCTCTGAGTCCAACTCTGGTCGATATATTTACGGGAAACCTGAAACAGAGGAGGCTCAAGCACGCAATCGATGGGACTACACTACTGTAGATATGTTGATGACACATTACTCGTCTGTAGCAATCATATGCATTCTATGAACCTACTCAATCTGTTTGAGAAAGCACACAAAGATATAGATCTTATTATGGAACACGAAGTAGAAGGTAAATTCCATTTCTTAGATATTGGAATCAGACAAACCTCAAATGGGACATTACAAAGACACATTCACCTCAAAAATATCTGGAATGGAATCTATCTCAATTACAACATTTTCCGTCCAATGAGTTACATAAAGGGTATTGTACGAACCCTTTTTGACTGTGCGCGCAAAATTTGCTCAACGGAATGCCTGAAAGATGAAATTTCTCTCATTACAAATTACTTACGTGAAAATGCATATCCCGTAAAGTTCATTGAGAAGTATTCCAAAACCAACCTTCGGGTCAAATACGATACAGTTGAGAAAAACTGCTTCTTATACTTACGCTTCAGAGGAGATGAAATCATCTATGTCAATTGTTTCACATTTTATCTTACCTCAATGTAAAATCTCAATACATATTTAGTTGTAAGGAGCTAATGAGAAACCACAAAATATAATGAATTCATATTATTGTCCATCCATGTTTGTTCTGGCTTTATTTAACTTCATATAGGGAACTAATTGCATGAAATTAATCTATATCATTGACGGTAGTAATGGTTAGAGTTATAAAAATTATCACTTGACACCAATTCCTGTTTAACTCCACATTGCAATTTTTAGTGTAAAAATGAACTTTTCTAGCGTTGTTGTTCTGATTTTTGACAGACAGTGATGTTTTAGAAAAAGGCTTGACTTTTCCTTTCGAAACATTTAACACACTTTATGTACGATGTCCCGCTTTGAATGTTCAGACATCACAGTACATGTTTATCATAAAAGAATTTGTCAAATCTATTCACGTATGTTTATGTACTAATCCTGTATCCTTAAATTTCTTATTGATTAATACCGAAAGAAGTTCACATTTCAGCTAAAACGTTCTAGGCTTTCATCAGCTTCTCTAATGTTTTCTTAGTAATAGATGATTTTTGACACACTCCTTTACCGAATCAATGTTGCAACGATAATGTATTATGCTTGATTGTGTCTATTCTCATTGTACTTTGTTCAATAGATAAAAAGAATAAATCAAAAAAACAGAAACTTGAAAAAATGGATGTCTCTTTGGAGAATACTAAACTTGTGGCTTCAGACTCAGGTGAATACTGCTTATTTGCATTCTCTTTTGTATACTTTAAGAATCGTAACGACCAACTATCTACTCATCTTATTTCACTAGAGAAGATTTACATTTAGCAGTAAAACAATGTAAGGGATTGCTACAACAAATAGACAACTTACGTAACAGTTAGACATATTGACGTAAAATTTTGCATTGAAGTACATCCACTCAACTTATCATGCACCGAAATCGAATGAATATTAAACAAACCAAAGAGAACTGAAACAGGTGATTCAAGAAAACAATATAAGTGCTACAAATTTCAAGGGTCAAATAGGGTAGTGAATAAATTTGTGTTATTGTAATCAACTCATGTATCAAACCATTGATTTTTTTTCATGATATGCAATCTGGAAATTAAACCTCCCAAATGATTCAAATTGTGGGTTTTTCATTTTATGAACTAATGGTGTAATTTAGTACGAAATCTTTGATTCCAACTTTTACTGTGACCACCCCATAGTATCCAGTAAATTGGCTTCACGCATGTGGTTCACGATCCTATCACTTCACTTGACATGGACCAACAAACTTATCATTTAACTTGTCACTCCTACTCAGACTGGTCCTAATGATTTACTTGAAAAGTAGAATACTGTATTGATTTATATCGAGTTGATCACTGAAAATAATTTTACTTCTTTTTCATCTATCTAGCCAATAAAAAGCACAAATTGAAAAAACGGAAATATGAGTGCGTAGACGTAAATATGATCGATTCGCATTCGTGTAAGTAAATAATCCGATGTTGAAACGGTCGTACTTTGCATTTAATGCAGTTGCTTTTTATCCTGTGTTTCTTGTAAGTACTTACATGAACGAAACAAATACAACACAGGGGCTCATTAAGCGTTGATATATATGACAGTTTTCACTTATGTATCCACAATGTTTTTATTTTAGCCAACACTCCACAGTCTCATAAGAAAAAGGAGTTCAAAACCAAAGAAAGGAGTCACATCGGTGACAATCCAAAACACATAGTATTCGATCAAGGTAGGTACACATAGTTTACTTAAATGTGTTAAATTACCTGCTTGCAAAATTGAATTTGATTTTTATCTGTATCAATATGTGCGCTTAAAAGATAATCATTTTTGTTCTGTAAATGAACTGTTATCACATTGTCTCGAACAGTATTTCGTGTAAAATTAGAATTTTTTGTGTTGATAATGATAATATTACTGAGGAATATGCTGATATAAACTTGATTAAGAAGCTGTGAGAACTACTGCACGAAAACTAGTTTTACTTATCATTTGACAATATGAATGAGACTTTGCAACGAGCTTCTAAAGTCCCATCAAGCTAGTAAAAATGATATATCGAAGGTAAATCAAACAAATATAGGATACCCTTTATAGATTACTTTCATAACGTATAGGTTTCTTACTTTGAGACTATTCCTCAGTTAGTCAGTATACATTATTGTCGTAGTTCATTCATACTGGTCCTATTAGTTGTCTACTATAGCTCATTCATCGCAGTAAATTAAATAGCATTAATTCAACTACAGTTATATCTATTGTTTTTTGAAATAATGTGTTTACTATTTAGTTGAACACTAGCCACAATACAACGAAAAAAGACCTACTTTTCTTCATTAGATTTTGGTCTATAAGCACTCTTTATTACACTTTACTCTAGTGAGATTGTTCTACTTAAATTATAGAATCCGATTGGACCGATCAAAAGTTGTTAAAGTAGTAATTTGAAAAATGATTTCCTGGAAAATATATATTCCATTTACAAAGCTTCTATACTTAAGTGATTGCGATTGCGCAATGCCTTGTATTCAGCCGACATTTTACGTAGTTATATCGAATTCGGTTTGTCAGTGGTAGACACTTTTCACTTTTGTACTTTACTGGACAGTACCCTCGGAATGATCTACTATCAGCTTAGTGAATAGTGCTCACTTTAGTTGAAAGTGATTAAAATTCTTTCTACACATTTCAAACTATTTCGTATATCGATGTTAGCGCTTACTCTCGTTACATTTTTTGTTACAATCAGTGATTATACTGACCATATGAAAAGCAAAATTTATTGATACCGACTTCTCCAGACCATAAAAACATGAGTTACTTAGCCGCATAGTTGCAATTATCGTTAAAACGAATTGTTTCAATGATAAACAGCATGAAACCTGACACAATTTTCCGTCGGACCCATTTGGTACACACAACATCTGAACAGTGAAAGAGAGAAGAAGAACAAGTTAAGCTTGGAAGAATCGTGTTGATAATAGGAATTGAGTTTATGAAAGAACGAATGACAATGCGGATAGAAAAGCTAAAGAATGTATACATCTACACTAATTCAACCTATTTCGAGCCACGAATTAATTGCAGTTTTTTGTTTCCTTCTGAGCAATTTTAGGTATGTTTGTGTGTAAATTTAAATTCTTGGGGAAAGTCTATATTGTTTCGCGAATTCAATTTTAGAATCAATGAATCTTGCGTTCTTGACAACTGATGTTCAAGAGAAATTCAGTATTCTTCATACATGCACACACCTACAAGGTATTGAAGTTAACCTTAAAAAACATCGACTTAGTTTCGAGAAACCTAGAAGTATATTTCAAAAAGCGATCCCCTAAGGACTAGTTGCTCCAATGATGAAAATTTTCCGTTCTTATGCCCCCCTAATGCTACTTTTACAGTCCATGACGCACGATAGTAATCTTACAAATCACCAATAATTTTAATACTGGTATTTACTTCGATTTCAGCTATATCTAAGCAATTATTTGGTAGATTGTGTTTAAATTATAATTGTTTTCACGTTTTCTGATCTTTCTAGATGGCTAATATGTTTGTCATTGCAAGGAAAATAGATATGTCTATAATGTTTTAAAAAATATTCATTCCTCGAAGTACCCTCTCATTGGTAAATTTGTAGAAATGATTTAAATATTAAAGTTATCCTTTCACAGTTAATAAAGATTTTTTGATTGATTCGTGCTAATGCTATTGTAGTTGATAAATGATCAAAATCAGTTTACCAGTGGTCCAGGGCACTGGTATTCAGTCAGACACTGAAGCTGACAATTTTATGTTGATCATTAATATCTGCTAAATAAGAAACACCTCGGTCTTAATCCACTGTTATATCGTAATTTCATTTATTATCGTGTACATTCATAGCCTTAATTGACTGATCTCAACAATCCTTGCGTCTTCTTGCAAAGCAACTCGGTTCTCTGTGTTGTTAGATGCGTAAAGGTTTGAATGTGGTTTCAGAGAAGAGTGCTATGGCGTTACTTGAGGAGATAGCTCTGTGATATTAAAGTACTGTTGGAGAAGTGCATATAATTTGTGTATATATGGTATTAATTATTGACTATTACTCATAATCTCTGTTAAATCAAATAGATTATGTCATTTTCAATGACCTTATAAAATTGACTGGGGGCACCTACTTTAAGTATAAAAGTATTATTTTACTAAAAAAAAGAAATTGCGACAATAAGTCGGATGCATCCATTGTCAATAAGTGACTCATCTTTAAGCATCTCTATTTCAAGTGATAATAATGTCGCATAGAAAATCAGTAAACGTCTTAACATTGTATTAACTATAACCTAGCTCCGAATATTCTTCAATTGTAGGAATGTTGCTCTTACCCAACTAACGCACACCTTGGGATCCGCATTAGACTATTGTTACCAATCAGTATTCATGGTCGTGATGCCTCTGATTAGTAGCGTTGGTCTGCTTCCTTTCGTTTTGGCTTAAGTTAGTGTTTACATTGTGACACAGTATAGTAGCCTTTGCAAACTTTGTTCTGTTGATTTTCAATATCTGTCTAATTTCTTCCTCAATTGGCACATACCTTTACTTCTGATAGGATGAGTTTTTTATGACCATCTGTAGTACCTAGTGTAAGTGATCGTTTATGAATACCTGTACTTTCTTGGTGGTGATCTTGTCAGGATTATTTTGACGTTAATGTGGAAAATTCTATGATATTGGATGAGAATCCTTTTGAGCTCCGGATATTCTTCAATTGTAGGAATGTTGCTCTTACCCAACTAACGCATACCTTGGGATCCGCATTAGACTATTGATTATTAGTGATACTACCGAGGTGCGTAAACGTTTCCAACCCTTCCAGAGCTTCGCCATCAAGTACGATTTGGTTGATTTTCCCTGTATCATGTTTTTGGGGATCTCGCTTCTTCCCTTGTGAATATATAGACCTACTTCTACACTGGCTGTCTTCACCTGCATTTGCTGCTGTACATGGAATAGAAGGGCTAGGTCATCTGCCCACTGTATTGTTTTTCGTGAGATTTGGAGGTCTCATAATTTAGTCAACAACCAGGAGAAAGAGAAAAGATGAAAGTAGACAGCCTTATTTTTATCTGAGTCTTCACTTGGAATACATATGTGAGCTGTCTTCCATGCAAGACTTTTCAATTCAGTTCCTTATATGAATTCCGTATGTTAGTGACTATTATCCCAGGTTTCAAAAGGCTTTCCCATCGACACTGGAATATCTCCCCCATAGTCAAGGAAGTTGAGTTTCATTCAATTTATTGCTCAACAATGACCCACAGTGTTAAGATCCGGTCTGTACATGACCGATCCCTACGAAATACTGTTTGTTGATTTCGAAGTTGAACGTCTATTGAAGCTTTCATTCGGTTTAGCAACACTTGAAAATTTTGACTGGGACTGATAAAAATGTGCTGTACCTGTAGTTCTTACATCCACCAATATGAGGTGTCATTCTTTCCTCCCAAATCTTCCTAAACATAACATTGGCCATCTTTTCAGTTACTACCATAATTGACTCCAGTACTTCGTCTGGCATGCCGTCTGGTCCAACAGCTTCTGGTCTATTCAGTGTGCTCTGTCCACCTGGTTGGTTTCCCTTTGTTCTTGATTGGTCGATCTGGTTTCTTACACTTCTCGCTAACAGAGATCCACTCCAGAAGTGTTCTGCGCTTATAATTAATACTATGCATACACCTGCCAGTTCACGAGAACTAGCCATCGGGTCGCCAGATACGCGGAGGGTGTATCTCGTCGGATCCTCGTTTTGCGAGGTGAGGTCAAGTAAATGACCACACTAGGATCCTGTGTTCGTGTTCCCTCGCGAAGATTGTTAGGTGTTTTCCTGGACATTTCTTCAGGATAGACTGTATTATCTGGTAGAACAGGTCTTCATCATCTTTACTGACATCATTGATGGGTGTGTATCGGTGGGCAATATTCATTACAATGTTTTCTTTTTTGCTTTGGAGTATGTTTCGATAATTCTGTCGCCTTAGGTCTCCCATCTTATAGGCGGTTTTCGTGTTTTTCTGGACAGCATCAGTGCAACTCGTGTATGTGTTGCGCTTTCTTCCTTATGACGAGAATACAACAGTTCTGCTGAAATGAAATGCTTTCTGTCCAGATTGTGTACATGTAGTTTTACTTATTTCACGCAGATCTGGCTTGTGTATTGTCATTTCTGTGACTTTAAATGATCCGGTTTTTCGCGCAATCTGGACATCCCACACCATTTATTTGTGCTTCTCTGATCGACGGAAGTGGCGTTGCACTTGTGTCTGGTTGTTCAGCAAAGATGTACTACTATAATCTGATTATGATGAGTTTATTGATCAAGTATCAAATAAATTCTCCACTTCATTTCAAAAATATCCCCGTATGAAAAGTACGAATGGCAAATCAAATCTTCCTACTAAGTTTACTGTTTTACTTTGAACCAAAGTTCTTTATGGTCATCACGTTAATGTGAAACAATACTTAATTATTTGAAGATATGCTGTACTATCAATTGTGTCTCACGAAAATGTAAAATTCATTTTGTTGGGTGTTTGAGTCACGACCTTTAGGCTAGGTTATTTTTTTAAGGAATGCCTAACTGTATGGTAACGCGTCTACATATACAAAGACGAAAAACATGAATAAGGAAACAGTATGAGATGCCTTTGAAATCACAGTGTGGAAAAGTTTACAACTCTGATATTCAATGGCAAGATGTTAAAAGAGCTCAGTGACCACTAGTTAAATCACTGCGTTTAAACAGATATTTCGTTTAAAAATCCCCATATTAAAATACTAATATATGAACGATGATTATTCTTTCCAGTAAATTCTCTTTGGGTTCTGCTGTAATTTTTATTTGTTTTACGAACAATCTTAAATTCACATGCTATGGTTTTATATGATGTACTTCTCTTAAACGTAGTCACTCTTTGGATTATTAATTTGAATGTGGAACTCAAAGAAAATTTATTGGAAAATAATACTCCGTTCATATATTAGTGCTTTACTTATCCCTTTTTTCGTCTCACTCTAAACAGTTGGCCTTCACCACATAAAGCTTAAGCTACGATTTAGTTTAAGAAATTATGAAGTTGAATAACCTCACTAGAAAAAGTGGTTTCAGATTATACGCTAATTTCTTATGATGATATTTTTATTTTTACGTAATCTGGTGTGTATAACCTGACCGATTCAAGGACTATTCTGCAATGTTTTAAAGTAGCATCATAAGTTGTATCCTGTTAGTTCTACATTTAGATTTTCTACATGATTCTCTCTGGTATAAAATTTTACCGTTTCAAAACCCCTTTGAAAAAACTTCCCGTCTATAGAGATAATATGTGCAAACATTCTCGTTGTGATACAATAGTGAACAGGACTTTGTTAACTTGAGTTACTTTTTTCATTTTTTGTCGCAAATTATTTCGGGAAGAAAGCACATCAAATCACTAATCGATCTGTAGATTACGTGTATTCAATAGTCAACGACCACTTATTTTGTGCCACAATTGCTTCATACATCAATACGCAAACATTTGAAAGAGGATATTACCAAGTAGTTTTATTTCCATATAGTTTTATGTTTCGTTTTAACTTATATTCATTGAGGAATTTGTTCATTTTCCTTACCCTTTTTTGCGTTTTGTTTTATACTACTTATTTAAAATCAGTCAATAGTTGTATTCCTAGCAATTCTTACGCTTTTGTTGTAATGCGATTTTGAAGTGTTTATATATATTCCTGACATTGTGTTTATCATTGTAATTTATTTATCTCAATCATTGTTGCGATTCTTCACAACTTTGTGTATTTAGTCATGCGTTGTTTAAACACAACAGTTCCCATATTGCTTGTTCTTGGTTCGTTTTTTTGCGTGTTGAATAACTGTTACCGAGTATTGACAGCTGTCTTTTGCACTATCGTGTGTTGTAATTATTCTTTATGTTACTATCACAGGAATCCTTTTTTATTTCAGATAAATAATACGCCGCAGACACCTCTCACGTTGAGGCTTGTAACTAACTTTTGTATTTTATTCAATGAAGAACCGGTTTTGTACAAATCGTTGTTTTGTGAACTTCGATTTTGCGCGTATCTCAATTGGGTGACTCAACACCATTATTTAGGCAATTTACGCTCTGTCGTGTACCAGCTCAGATTTTGGAGATCGCTGGTAACAACACAGGTCTGTAGAGTCAGCAGTACGACTTCGCCCACAGGCCTCGAGGAACGACTTTTTCATTAAGTATGACACGATTAGTTAACCACGATAGACTAACCCGACCAACACTTCAAGGTAGCAACAACGAACAGATCCAATCTTCACTCTCTCGGCATAGCTAAAATAGCATTGTTGAATCAGTTCGTGACTAAATCCTTGTCCTATAAAGGCATAAGTTTATTAGAACATTTAAAAAACAACCAGAAAGGCATTATCAGATACTCTAGACAAGATGTGTTTCTCAATCAATAAATCTAGATAACTTAATTACATGTGTATGGGGCCTAAAACAACTTTTACTACTACTCACAGTGAAGAAAAGTAGGACGAGACAGGAGGTTGGAACTTTTTTATTTAAAAGTACCAAAGTTAAACATGTAAAATTATACATAACTACAAAAAATCCTTTAAATTTTCTTTCTAGAATAGTAGTTTATTTCTAAAAATAAATGTTTTGTTTTCCCTACACTGTAATATTTGTGATCGTCCAGTTATTCTCTCCATTCTGCTTCTAAAACATAGAATTGGCTTTTTTGAAACAAACAATAGAAAGAATGAATTAGTGGAACTTTCAAGGCATTATTAACACTAGAACAATAACATTCAGTAGCAATTATTGCTTAAGGTCAGGTTCACAAAATTTTAAGTAAACTGATTAGTGTGTTACTTTTTGGTCAAAATCCTGTAATCAGCTTTAATTCATTACTGTGAAATTCAATATTCGTTATTTAAAACTTCGGAACGACCAATCATAAAACAGGTCTCTAACATAGTAGCAAAAGCCTAAATATTAAGTTCAAAAGCCGCGGCAATATGTAAAACCCGACTTAAGAGGGGGGAATATCGGAGAGACGGTAAATAGGTTTGTTACTGGTTTTGTGTCCAGGCAATGAATAATATCAATCCGCAAAGGATAATTATTACATTGAAATTATGAACCACCATTGGAAACCTGGGACCACTAGACAGCCGTTTCGTCACAATATGGGACATCCACGATAACGCTAGCGGGACTTGAGGCGACTGGGTTTTCATCCGACGGTGTTAATGTCTAGCTTCAACCAATCCATGATGTCGCACGACCATCTTACATTGTTTTTCGTGGGTAACTGCCTCACACTCGATACGGGGACTAGTGAAGTGCTGAAACAGCAACTGGATTTAGCATCTGGAAAAGCATTGACTTTTATAACATAAATAGTTGTGGACTACTTGGTTAAAGTTAACGTGATCATAGTAACCAATGTTAAGAGATTTTGAATGACATAGACCAAATGCACAGGTGCACACATTTTTTCTCCGTGTGTTGAAATCTTTCTAGATCTTATTTTTATTACTGATACGGTTAATAGTTTAGGATTTCTCTTGAAATATTTTTATCTCGCTGTGCTAATGTGATATTGCAACTTAAACCGATGCCCTTGTGTTCGGTTATACGTTGAGTGTGATGATAATGACATCTATTAGGATAGCACACATTCTAGTATTGAATACTCTATTACTTAGTGGTTTTTCGGTGGTTTGTTAACATAATCAACTGTATTATCAATTTCAATACTGAACGGTTGCTAAGCTTTCGGATTAACGCGAGTCAGTCCGAATTACAGATTAATATCACATACTTCTCTACTTAACTCATGCACGTTGGCATTCAACTAGTAAGCACTTTAAAATGACTGGAATACGCAACATAAAATCGGACATTTTTGATTTAAGTTGAACATCGACATCATCATGTGTTGATGTCCCGAAGACAACAGTATTCCTCGTGGTCCAAACCCTTTAGGTCACTTTTTTCCTGCCAAGTTTTTTTTAAAGATTAATGAAAAACGGTATTCTCTTTAATGGGATTTAGTCAATGGTGTAATTTGCACGAATTTGTATAACTGGAGTAAGTTTATATTTCAAGTTCAATGTTTTTCGTGCACATAAGATGCAGAAAAAATTATAATCTGCTAGCTAAAATACTCTATAAGAAGCATGTTCGTCTAATGTAGCAAAATTACCATCCGAAGAACGTTGGGTGCTATATAAATAGTACGTTATACGATAGGCTTTCCGATGGTTGGTAGATAGATGATTATTTATGGTAGGAATGTCACTACCAAAATGCCCTGGTACGGCCGAGGGTGGGGAGCATCATCTCTCACTTCAGAAATACTTTCACATGGACACGCGTATGCATCAATTGCCAGAGAACTCCTACTCACTGCCTTCTCGCGGATAGGGTGCTGTTTACGAAATTGAAAGGACGAAAAGCGAATGTCCGGTGCCTTAACTGAGTTGGTGGATATGGAGGATCCATCTAGAAGAGTTTACTGGAGAACCCTGATTCCAAACCAATGGTGCACATGGGCTCCAGGATCCTGTGGGAACAAAAGGTGTATGAACCTATTGTTAGTCACCGGTTACCATGGGACGGCATTTCCCAGCGCTGCTCTACTGCCTTGTGGATCAGAGCTCTTGGTCAAAGGTTCAGGTAGTGGCTCCCTAAGAAGAACACTTACTCTGGTTTGCGCACCCGAGTAGTGTTCCAACTCTCGCAAATATCGAATAATTTGTGTGGCGCATATGTATTTGATGCCTCATTGTACCAATGTTTGAATAAACACGACGATGGAACACCCTACTGATACACTTGTCAAAACAGAAAAAAGGTAGAAAGATTTTCGACCAGTTTGGAATTTCCTCCGGACGCTACTGGAATCACGTTCATTAGGGAATCTAATGTCTTCTGTGAGACTTGTAGGTATCATCAATACCTACGAAGTCCGAGAGTCGACGAGGTGCACTTGTTTATATACTGTCGGCAAAATAGGATTCTAGATCGTCACGTACGTACTTATATTCATCATTGACAATATAAATAGACAACCAATCATTTTCAGGAAAAAACACGATTAAAATATTCATTTACACAAAGCATAATCTATTACTACCTGCGTAAAATAGTTGGGAAATCCAGACAACAAGAACGGCGTTAAGAGTAAAAAATAATAAAATGTCTGTACATCTAAGATAAGTAATGAAAACGTGTACGTCATCATAACCTCACTTAGTATCTGTTTTATTAGTATGATACATTGAATGAAATTCCTTAAGTTGAGTGATTATGTTTAAAGATTAGAAAGGAGAACGAACTGATTATTTAGAACTTTACTAACACTTCGAAAGGATCGTAAGTCAGAGAGGTGAGCTAGGTAAGTTATCAAAACTTAAAGACAAATATCGAGATCTTAAAAATACTAATTCAACAGGACTAAGTGAATATCTGAAGTGTAATGGTTGGCAAACTCAAACCAAATATTGATCCACGCTATTATTTTTGAAATAACATTTTACATTAGAGATGTGATTAACATATTTCAAGTTTTATTACACTGTTTGGAGCAAAGATCAATACTTAAGTTATTAGAATCACTGAGCGAACCTGTCAGATTGATCGAAATGGGATTAATTCTTGCCACTTTAATATCATTAATATATAACGCTGAAGTGATTTTGAACAAATATTTGTGGTTTACAGATAACTAAATAACAGAAATCACTGGCGAAACTGATCAGTTAATCTTCAACGAAACATGATTAAATCCCTAACTCCGAGTTGGTGTGATCAAAGCTCTACAAGTCAGTCACAACGTATAACCTGGTACGTATGTGCATCAGTTGAAGTTGTTATACTTCATTACCACAAAAAATTGAATTGTCAGGCCGAATGTCAGAATATTAGAGGTGGTAACAACATCAGTGCTAATAAAGAAATTAGGCGTCGAAGATGATATTTGAAAAGAAAATATAAGGTTATGGGAAATTTAGGATCTCAAAATTCGGAGAACGGATGCATCTGCGCCATTGTATACAATTTTGAACCATGTTATCCATACTTCCAAACCATTGGTTTCGATAACCACGCGGACCCCAAACAATCAATAGTCTACACTTATTAACATAGCCAAGTTCAGTTGTTAGCGACTTCATGAACTGATTCCGTGTTTTGGTTTGGCCGCTTTCATAGCTTTCTTACAACCTTCCCTATACTGGAAAACATCGCCCTTTGAGGTAGGCAGTGGTCGGGCACATGCAACATATGTTCCAATCACCTCAGTTTATGAAGAATCATCACCTCATCAATCGACTGGACAAACTAAATAAGTAAAGATTGACATCAAATCCATAATCCAGTAGTTTAAAAAGATCGAGTGCTTCAACAACTAATTCATTACTCGACAAAGAGGATTAGATTTCGATGTCACTATTTCTAGTCCATATGAACAGTGATCATCATTTTAACTGGTCCACAAAGTCACATGTTACAAAAAACACGTTTATGATACAATAATCATAAATAGTTATTGAACATAAATAAATCACAACTATTCACTTGCAAGAATGCCTTGGGATTTAAATCGGAAAAAAATCAAAACGCTCGGATTGCCAGTTTATAACTTCTCCAAAGTTTAGAACTTCATTTCTTCTCAAATCCAAATTACAAAAAGGCTGTTATACCTTGCATTCTATGAGGAAGATGTGTCAGTTTGTTTTGCTGAGGTTTCGTTCTCTGAGACGTGAAGTTTTCATTATTTTACTGAACGAATTCAGCATAAACTTCAGTTAGAAGTGAGGTATAGGAATTTCTCCACATATGGTTGACAACTTGTTCTGTCAATTGGTCATTTTTTACTTTTACCCTGTCGTAGTGTCCATACTTTAGTTTTTTCCACCTATTACCTGAATCCCAGTTTATATTTACTCATGGTTAGAAACATCTGCGCATTAAATAGGTCCTGGCAATGATTAATATAAGCATAACAATTGAGGACTTTAAATAGTAATATATAGCCTTTGATCATCAAAACAACTACGTTCATTACGCCTTAAGTTACACGCATTACTCCAAAGGAAGATGTTTGAACACCCAATTCAACAAGCTTAAAAAAATCAGCTTCGAACTTTAGAAAGCTAAGAAACAATAGTGAACTTTTATCGATTAATTCTCACGTTTGGAGAAAGAAAATATTAAATAAAACAACATATATAATCAACTACAGAATATCTTATAACACAACATATTGTCACTCACTCCATGGTCGACATTCAAAAGGAAATCCACTAAATACATTGTTTTTTAACATCATAATAAGTGGCCAATTGAATCCTTGTTTTACGAAACGAATAAACACATTTCTAAAATAACAATAATAATAATTTAAAAAACTAGAAGAAACAATAAGATTGATTATTGTCAATGATTGTGTTAATGATTAGACATTTACACGTAGTCAAATTATCTTTCTAAATGATAAAAACATGTGAAACCGTAAGTTCTTAATACAATATGAAATGGTGATTTATTGCTTTTCAGTTCTCAGTGATTATCCAACTAACGATGGTTTGTGATGAAAAAAAATCTTCAACACGTACATTTCTTGAAAAAGTCTAGTTCGATAGTGATAAGAATAAATCTTTTCATAATAATAAAATCAAAGTTGTTTATACACTCACCTAGTGACTAAATCATTATTAGGTATTGAATGATAATCAACTATAACATTCTCAGGAAATTGTTTACGAATTTTATCATCGTCAATGTTTGATAGTACTCTAACAAGTTCAAACCCATGAATATCTTGTGTATCATCAGCACCACAGGATTCGTAATGAAGAGTTGATTGAACACCAATTATAGCTTTAATAGTCTGACCTCCAATTAATTTGTGATGACAATCTTCAAATACATCTTCGAGATCTTCTGAACATTGAAATTTTAGCAAACATGACCTAAGTTATTATGTAGTAAAGAAAACAACAGCAGAAACAAACAAATATTATAATAGTTTGTTGAAAATTATTTATTGAATATAATTTCGACCACAGTGATTGTATACGTGTAAAAAATATTGGTAGTAGTCACTTCAACTTGTTTAAATATAACAGATGGATAGAATAAGAGACTTGTATGTAAGAGGAGTTAATATCATGAACAATTAAGTATTCTGCAACTTAACTGATAAAAGATTGATAGCAATTTATACAGTTAACAGCGACGTACATTGCAAATCATTAATACAATACAGTTTAGTAAAGTGAAATTTAGGTTGAACATTTTTGTGACTGCCAGGACACAGTGTGGATGTTCAAACCGAAGTATGCAAAAGAAGGTTTGCACTAAGGAGTCAATAGTTGGACGGTGAGTAGTTTGAAAAGCAAATCACTGCTCCAATTTACAGATATTCAAATTCAAAACATGCCACAGCATATCATTTATCAAAATTAAGTGGGAACCAGGGGGTATAATTTCAGGGTTAAATGGTGCTATTGGGCATAACTCTACTCTTTAGTAAGTTGATACACTTTCTGTGTGATTTGATTCAACATTGCCTAGCATGACGATACATTTCCATTCACAATCAAATTTATTTATAGTGCCATGCTAGCACTGATTTATGATATACAGATCCATACAATTGGTTCTGAGCTTCACTTTCAGTATGAAGACCGGTGATAATAACCAGCCGCTAAGCCGAAGTAGTTGGATCAACGTTTAATTTGCAACCAGGCGATTTACTTTTTGAAGCATCACTTTAAAGTTCCACGTAAGAAATATTACTACTGATCTACTATTGCAACTACTATGGAGGACACCGAAAACCAATATTTCTGTGTACAATCAATTTTTCCGAATCTCCATAAAGTTGAACAGTTTATGAAATAAAATGGGGTGGAATCAAAGAATTTTGACGCGAAGTTATATACTCTCTGTTGGTCGTTATCTTCGAATGCAAATCAGACAAATTGAATTGTAATATCTAATAAGCACACGATTACACAATGGTAAACGTTATCGATCAGTTTCCGGAAACAAGTAAACGTTCACTTTTAAAAAGGTCCCTAGCTAGTCAGGGTATTAACGTCACTTAAAATGATAAAATGAAGACCAAAATAGTTTACTTTTTCTGTACATCCCATATATCAGTTTTTAATTTTATAGATATTGCTGTAGGAAATTCTACTTTAAGCTGAGTTAGTGTAGTCGACTGAGGCAGGTTTTGAACAGTTAATTCAACATTTTCTGGTTGAATTACATTTTTGGATTGTGATGGTCGACAAATAGATTTTACAGTTGGCTAAAGTAAAACAAAGAAGAATCAAGTATAGTATGTAAAACGAGAATGTTATCATTTCGCGGTAAAGTAACTTTAAATGTATGTTAATCTCACACTAACAGAAAATTATTCATGTGTGATACCAAGATAAGATGCTAAACGTAGTTCATTTACATCAATAAATGATCATATTCGGTGTAATAAATGAGTAATAAAGTAAAGACTAACGAGAGAATTTTTTGACTGGCTATTTAAAGTTGTTACAAAAATACTTTACAAACAACTAGATAAGCAAGGAGGGATAATTAATTGATCTGTGACGTTTTTATAAGTGTATGGAACATTATGAAAACAGGTGAAGCATATATACTTTAGAAAAAGCTTCATGTCTAAATACTCAGTCCTAGAAATTGTTCCTCACTCCCGATGGGATTACGAGACCAGAAACTGTCTTACTAGTTTGGAGATACTGAGTGCAGACTGATCTGAATACGTCTATTTGATCACCAAACAATAATCGTTCACCATTTTTGACTAACAAAATACATCTGAAACATAGAATTAATAAACTCCATGGACAGTGTTTTAATATGACTGAAGTGACTTTTTTTGTCATATTCATGGATTTTAATTGTTACTCTTGGTCAATCACTTTTAAACTGAATCATATCGGGACGTGCAAATTTATTGACCATAATCTATGAAATGACTACAATCTATGGTTCAAAATTTTGGGTCTCATGGCTCACAATTGGTTGTAGTGAAGTATGAGTATTCATTACTCATCTTTTTTTCCGCTCGATTCTTAAGTAACAAAACTAAATCATATTTTTTATCTTCTAATTTTATTAGTTATTTTTTAAATTGCGTTCTCCATCAAGTCTATCACTTTCATTGGGATCATTATGTCGACACATCTGGCCTTATTTAACGATGCCTATTTTTATCGTGATATGAAATGTGGCAACGTCGCCTGATGCACAATTTCACCACGTCCTGTGCATCCTCTGATTGATCTAGTGATAGTTAACTACCGACTTTCCCGAAAATAAATGTGCTTCATTAGAAATAGCACTATCACGGTAGAATAGAATATTTACCAAAACATTTGTTTAACATTATCAATAGAGAATTAACAAAACTAGTTATCTAGAACACTCGACCATTTATTGATGAATTAGTGGTTCATATTGTTTTAATTTATTTCTGGCTTATTTATAATTCACTTTAATTTGATATTAGGTTCATTTTAAACAAACAATAGCGAATTTACTGAAACTTTACGTTATTGATAGATGATAAATCCTAACACACTCCGTAGTGCATTGGGTAGATTTTTGGAGTGGTGGGTTAGTCCCAAGAAAAACATCAGCAATCCTGTTCACTTGGTATTGTTTTTGCCTGTATCTTCCCATTGAGGTTTAAGACTGCAATTTATTAGTCTGTTATTTGCATACGTGCATACTGTGCGTATTGCCTTAATTCACAAGCTTTATAAGCAAAGATGGAAAGTGGCTAGCAGTGGAATCCCAGAGTGAACATCAACTCTGAGATGCAGGTACATCCGGCTGACGAGTCCTGAATAGGGCGAAACGTGCGTCCTGGATTCCACTGCTAGCCACTATCCATCTTTGCTTATCAGCAATCCTGGTTGTTAAATAAGACACAACGAGAAATGTAAATGTAAACTCTATTGGCAACCATTATTGACTAATCAGCTAGAGATTACAGTTAACCCTAACTGTGCCCATATCCTCTAGTTCTACATATATGACGTTCGAACTCCAATTTATTTTAAAAAGTTTAGGTAACCTAACAACATCACTAGGCTTAATATAAGTGCTTTATAACCTAGTTTATTGAGTCTGGGTATCGCTGGTGAGTTATATTTCTGATCAAATTATTAAATTATCAGCTACACCTACAAGTTTGTGATTACAATACAAACAATATTAACCAACAAATATGAGTGACAGGATATTAAACAAATGATTCAGTGGATAATTTACAGTAATTATACTGTTCATAAAACTAAATAACTAAAATCGAAAATGTTACTTATAATTTACTCAAATAGATGGTACAGTAAAGTGAGGAGCAATTATAGACCACGTTGGTTGATAAAATAGCAAACCATTCAGATAAATTACAAAGTAGAAGGTTAACTGTTTGCCGATACAAAGATAGGTGATTTTTTTATTTGTATCTATACAGAATTACTTGTCATATCCACTATACCAATAAAATTGAAGTCAGTCAGTTGGTCATACGCAACACAGAACCAGGCACATGTAAGTCGCGGTTTAAGCTGTCATACTCCATTAGCACAGTGAGATGGAATTGTCACGACGAATCCCAGAGTAGCAAAGGTAGTAATGGTATTATTGGTAATTGAAAAGTTTATTCAAGAAAATATAAATTAACAAAAGATTTGACTACAGGAAGAACAATTAATGTAGCATAGTAACATGAATTCATTATATTTCGCTGTTTATCATTAGGTGCTCACAACCTAAACATAATAGTATCAATTGCACGCCATCTGCATGACAGTGGTCATGGTATTACTGTCTCGAATTCCTTCAAGATAAATAATAAACAAAGAACGTCAGATTTTCTACGGCTTCCTCAATCAGCTGCCATGAATAGACTCAAACCAAATTTATGTATCCAGAAAGACTCAGTTGTCAATCTTGCTTTGCCGCGGTAAACTCATTCATAAATTTTCGTTGAGCAATTCGGTTTTCATGAGACTAATTAATACTCACATCTTATCTGATGCGTACTCAGTTAGTTAATTTTGTTACAAGGATTACATAATTATAGCATTAACTTATTATTTCTAAATAACTCTGTTTCTATGTTCTTATTTGTTTATTCTAGGATATTCTTATATTAAACCTATAAATATTAACATTAATTTACATATGAACATCTCTTATCGCTACTTTCATTAATTTGCATTGATGAGAACTCTTTCGATATAATGATATAAAATATGTACACTGATTTTTAAAGATTAATACTATTATGTTTAAATTGTAAACAGCTGATGAGAAACAGCGAAATATGATGAATTTATATTATTCTGATACATTAATTGTTGTTGTCTTAGTCAAATTTACAAATAAAAAAGAGCATTAAAAATATTACAAAGAAACTAGAAACTTAGGATCCAAAGGAAGCCAAACAGTGAATGTACCTGCACCACTGAGAACGATCTTGAACCATCTCATTCAAAATTCCTAGGCACTGGCTACGGTAATCACACGGACCCCGACAACCAGGTAGTCTACGCCTAATTACATGACTCCGTCTCACAGTCAGTTCCTTTGCTTGAGTTATATGGATTGAATTAAGGAATGCTCCGAGTGTGATTGTGTTGGAGCACGCTGATTGGTCATTTCCTAGCTAGTCAGCGTTAGTAGATACTTAGAGAAGACTCTAGGGCCTTCTTGAGTGAAATTATCAATATACTAACGTTTTTCTTATTGTGATCCCTATTTCCACTTAATCTTGTTTATTTGGGATATAATTGCGTCCCTGTTCAACCGTGTTCTAATTTGGGGACTTGCCGAGTGAGGTATTTTTCGAAAAATACTAATCAATAATCGTAGCTAGGTCGTAATGAAACAGTTTATAACAGTGAGGAAAAAGAAAGACATATTTGATATGCCGATATCAGATGACCAGCTCAATTGAATTCCGCAACAACAGCAAACACAACTAAATGCACAAATTCAGTTGTTAGAAACTCTGACGCAACGGCTTAACATTCAGTGCCCGAGTTCATATGCTATGCCAACTACTTCCTGTGGTGCAGTTACTAGTAGCATTCCAGAATTCAACTATGGCCCCGTAGTGGAAATACCTTCCTCACATGGTTAAGGCGTTGGGAAAATACATTTAGAATAGGATTATGCAAACAAGATGAAACGTGGAAGACTTGATTGTTGATGCGTTAGTCGGAAAGCAATGGACATGCACGCTATGCTATACAACAGATAGACCAGACCGTGGTCTAAATATGTTAGAAAAACTTGGAATAATGGATATACCCATTACGTGTCTGCAGAGTGTCCTGTTCAACAGTGGACACTCCTACATTTGAAAAAATAAGTGGAAGGTTGTCAGATAAGCTAAGGAAAAAGTTTGCTTTTTTGTAATCACCTTGATTACTGGTCCAACACGAAAGCTCATTTACTAGTGAAACTAGGTGCTAAACCTATTTTCCGTACGAGACGTCCTACGCCGTGCGCTGCTCTTGAACTAATCGATTAGGAACTTAGTCGTTTGCAACAAGCTGGTGTGATCAAACCAATCAACTACTACGCATGGATCACACAAATGGTAGTGATTAAGAAGGCTAATCCAATTATACGTATATGTGCCGATTTCTCAATCGATTTAAACGCTGCACCGGACATATATCAGTATCCGTTACCAGGTCCTGAGAACCTGTTCGGTAAGCTTAATGATGGATCATGTTTCGCGAAAACAGACTTTTCCGACGCCTACATGTAAGTGGAAGTAGATAATTATTGTAGACAGATTCCAAATATCGATACTGATCGAAGGTTTATTTATAACACCAGCCTACCATTCGGTGTCAAGACTCTACCCGTTATCTATCAGTAAATAATAGATACGATGTTAACAGCTTATCTATATGAGATCATTGTTATGGTTTCAAATAACAATGAACTTCTAGATTGACCACTACTCCTTAAGTCACTTGCAGTTAATGCCGTATCGCCAAGATTAATTCACTCACATTGTTACTTACTAATAACGTACCTCTACATGTATCAATATCCGACTTCCTTTTTACTTCTTTTAATGAAGCTAGTTTCGTGTTAGCATAATTACGCACCGAAGACCAAGTTACGAATAAATCGATTTACTACTTTTAATAGAGTTCTGATGTGAGGACTCGAAGGTCTCCAAATGGAAAGTTTATTATAAGATGAAACTATCTCATTCCCGTATATGACATAATTTTGTCGAGTTATGCCATCTAGACAATAGGAAAAGAATAACCAGGCAATATGTACTACTTCACAAGGGTCATTGCTTATCTTGCAATTAGGACTTAAAAAATATTTGCTTAGACGACCACCAGAACATGAGTTCAAACTAATACTGGTGACACTGCTATGTACTATTATACAAGTTCCTATCGTTTTTCTAATTTCCATTATGCTCACTAACTTTTATAGAACGTCCATGTAATTTTTCGAAGCTGTTACTTAGGAATTTTACACAAGATGAATTTAGTTGCATTTGTAAGAATCTATTGAGAGAAATTCATTGGATTGTATAAAGACTAGTCCAAACAATAGTATGGCGAAAAAATATCAAGAAATAGGTATCCACGACGTTATTTCTTGAGAACCAATAAATCTGACATCTGTATTGTGCTTCTGGGTATTACTGAACACTAAGTGTTAGGGTGAATGAAACATCACATAGGATTGTTTATAATTCATATCACTGATTGCTTTTTAGTTAGTAGATTTCTGTAATTTCATTCGTTAGCTATAATATATTGTCTGACCAATTACAATGAGAAAACAGTTTTTATAAAATACTTCGATAGACGACGAATAGATCATTTGAAAACTTGTGTATTTAGCTGCAAAGTAAATACATAGTTTGACTAGTGAATAAGCTATTATTTATTCAAAATATAAAATACAGCAAACTTCTTGATACTACCTTAACTCCATTGAATTCGACTCTTTTTAAACGACGTAATGCATCTGTATAGCCCTTCACAGTAGAAAATGTGATAAAAAATGTTTGCTTGTGTGAACTGATTTTTTTAGCCGAAGGTATAATACTCCTCAGGATTTTGTCATCTACATCCACCGGTAAATTTCTGATTGAAATAGACTGAACTTTGTCCTGACCATTTGTTTTACTTAGGCGATTCATGACAAGAAAGTCAGGATTGGTAGACAGATGTTAATCTGAATAACGGGTCGCTCTAAAGTATCTTAACTATCATTTGATAGAAATTTCGTAGAGCAATTCTGACCTGTAGACAAAATAAAATTCTCACGTTATACTTTGCATTATAGCCAAAAATATTTGCTGATTAAGCTTTCAGAAATATTGTAAAGGCCTGTAGAACAATAGAAAAAATTAAGGCTGTGACAAAGCTATACTTTAAAAAGGGAAAAACATGCATTCGTTATTGATTGGGCTATTATGACATGGTTCTATGTAATCTCCAGATAAGCTACGTATTTAGGAACATGAATTAATAAACTAATGGTGAAACCTCTTACTTTGAGGAAAAACCACTAAAATTTTATATGTTCACAATAATTAACTACTTAAAAAGCATTATTTTTGTATTGTATCTAGTAGTATTATATAAGAAAAAATGGGGTGTTCAACATGACGAGGGGTTTAAAGGCAGATTAGTTTGGCACACAAGTCCCTATGTCTTGTAGGGATATAGGACGCCATTGCGTTACGATGTTATATATAAAACCTTGAGCTTAGAATAGAGCATAGAGTTGTTCTCAAATATAGTTTGACAATTAAAAAACCATTAAAAATGACAAATCTTGTCCTCAGTTTATGTCGTTAACTGATCCCATAGGTCTTATTGCTTTAGATGCCCCCAAATGCCCTGGTATGGCCGAGAGTGGGGTGGGCCCGCTTTCCATCTCGAAATGCTCTCACACGGCCACGCGTATACAGCCTCTGCCAGGGAAGTGCTACTCACTGCCTTCTCGTGGCAGGGGTGTTGTTTACGAAAATGAGAGGACGAGAAGCGAATGTCCAGCGCTTTAACTGGATTGCAAACCAATGGTGCACATGGGCTCCAGTATCCTGCGGGAACAAATGGCGCATGAACCAATCGTTGGCCACCGGCTTCACAACTTCGTCAACTGATTTACCATCATTCCCCAATAATCTGTGTCTAACCTCACTATTACTTACCCGGTGATCCCAGCAGATGCGACCAATATTTCAAGGCATCTGTGGTCAAATACTAGTAGCTTACGAGTATCTTCTACTTTTAATGGCCATGTTTCGCAGACGTAAAGTAAAACAGAACGAACTGCTGCGCAGCAGACTCGTCCTTTTATTGATAGACGGATATCTCGCTTTCGCCATAGGTGGCGTAAGTTGGCAAAAGCCAAACGAGCCCTTCGAATCCGTGCTGAGGCTTCGTCAGACACTGACACATTAGGGCTGATCAGACTTACAAGATAAGCGAAATTGACTACTTCACTCCCTATCCTTAGTTCAGGTGTTGACGCAGACCAGTCCTGAAGTAACAACTTGCATTTAGAGGGAGAGAAGGTGGAACTGTATGTAAATGAGGACACATTACAGTCGGGATATAGAACAATGGCTTACGTGTAAATCAGTGTCGAGAAACGATTTCTATATTATACGCTAATCAACGGTAACTCAAGCTGTCGAACCGAAATAAGTGTTGGACGCCACAGTTTTGAACGCGTAAATAGGCGGATATTAGAAGAAAGACTCTACTAACCTACTTTGTGAAGTGATATAAGGCACACAAATAATTGGTACAGAAAGTATGCAACAAACTAAGTAGCTGTAGTTCATAGGTTCTAATTCATCACCTTATCTTATGATTTTGAGTGGGTTGTATTAAAAAAAAAACTAGGAAAATGCGACAAGAAACCTAAACAATTTCCCTGGTTTGGAGTTTTTTCTAAAAATACCCAAAACGCTTGGGCAAACTTTGGGGAAATCCATCTACGTTATTTGGTAGAACACCGAAATTACTGAGTATTCTGGAGAAAACCTGAAAGTTTTCCCAACGTTCTCGAGAAGTTATATAGTCTTTATTGAGAAGTACCCAGAATGTTCTTTGCGTATAAACGTCTTTCTCTATCTTTAGTTAATTTCGCAAATTTAACGCAATTCGAAAACAATTACGCCACTGTACCTAACATCAAAATGTCTGTTGTCGCACACACATCTAGCTTGTATAAACTTTCTCTGACGAAGGAGTTTGTTCTTATCACGTGATGTAAAATGTTTATCTTGAAATTACTATTTACTGTATATTTCCTTTTCGGCTGACTTCGTAAGTGCTTACTGATCTAACTGTAGGTTTTTAATCCAGCAAACACTTTTATATTAACGTTTGTACATGAGACACATTTCACATGGCATTATAGATCCACAGGTTTGATTATTGCTATAACATTAGGCATTTGTTTGTCTACTATTAGCATTGGGACTGCTTTGGTATTATGTTTGTTACATAGAAGGGTAACGTTCCTCTGTTTGTAGAACACTGAGAACGAAAGTCCAACTTCTACGTGATGGACACATCAAAAAGAAAATCGCCATTGAGAAGAATATGAAAATGCAAATAATTCGCGAAAGATCTATATGTAGTCTTTTTTATATTTCAATAAACAATCTTATTAATAACGCGCCAGTCTCTTAACTACGGCAACGCTTACCTATAGTGTTTGTTGCTGCAAATGTTGGCAAGATAAGACTACTTTGATGAGGTAAATAAACTATGATTGCGTGTCCACATTATATTGTCTTCTAAGAAGCATCCACTTAGTTCCGCAGAGAACATTTATACAAGCTAGATGTGTGTGCGACAACAGACATTTTGATGTTAGGTACAGTGGCGTAATTGTTTTCGAATTGCGTTAAATTTGCGAAATTAACTAAAGATAAAGAAAGACGTTTATACGCAAAGAACATTCTGGGTACTTCTCAATAAAGACTATATAACTTCTCGAGAACGTTGGGAAAACTTTCAGGTTTTCTCCAGAATACTCAGTAATTTCGGTGTTCTACCAAATAACGTAGATGGATTTCCCCAAAGTTTTTGTAGATTCTGGGAAATAATCAGAATGCGAAATTTCCCCATTTATTTTATTTATTTATTTGAACACATAAATATTGGTACAAAGGGGAACTGAATACATATGCACCACAAAAGTCACTTGATTTGTGCATGGGCTGTGATACTGCCCAAGTACCCAGACCGAAACAAGTAGTTTCCTTAGGGGGCCACGCCCGGAGCCTTCGACTTATAAGTCTGATCCACAAGGCAGTGGAACAATGTCAGGAGACGCAGTCCCGTGGTAGCCAGTGACCAACGATTGGCTCATACGCCATTTGTACCTTCAGGATACTGGAGCCCATGTGCACCATTGATTTGGAATCAAGGGTTTCCAACTTTCCTAGGTGGATTCACAATATCCATCAACCCGGTTAAAGCACTGGACATTCACTTTTCGTCCTTTTAATTTCGTTAACAAACCCCAACCGCGATAAGGCAGTGAGTAGGAGTTTTCTGGCAGTGGCTGTATACTCGTGGCCATGTGAGAGCATTTCTAGAGAGCTGAATCTCCCCACCCTCGGCCGTACCATGGCATTTGGGTGCCTAGCTGTTTTGGGTATTTTTGAGGGAAACTCTAAACCAGGGAAATTACAGGTTTTTTGTCGCGTTTTCGTAATTTCTCCTAATACAGCCTTCTCAAAGTTTCCCCAAAACTGTTGGAATTTCTCGAATAGTGATTAGAACAGTTGCACTCACTTCCTACGGCGAGAAAGTTAGTTTAATTTTCGACTCAGGCATGCCGCTGACGAGAAGCAAGAGGAAACTAACAAAGCCAATTATCACTTACCAACACTTTATTGTCAGGGTCAGGGCACGGTTTAAACGTTATGTCTTTTCGAAATGTGCCCGCCCTTTCGTTTCAACGACCTTGAACGGCTTGACTAGAGGCGGTCATTCCGTATTTCAATTGCCGTGGGTTGCTTGGATTGCATGAGTATCAAGTTTTTTCATATATAAGTCATCTTATGCTAAATAAAAAAGCACGAAATAAATACTTTCATAATTCTTCGTTAGAGTTATTCAATTTCCAATATTTTGCTGGGTATCTATTTAGATCGCATAGATTGTTTCACTTTGGCTTCTTGACGTTATGAAGCTATTCATCTGCATTGCATACTAATTCTTCCTAGCATAAAATATTATTTTTTAGTAAATATGTGTCAAGTAAATCTATAACTCTATGAATACGAATACCTTAAGGTATTGAGAAGTCTTAAAGTAAGGTAAATGCAGAAATATACAATTTTCTGAGGTTTCCTCTTGAAAATGCTTGTTGATTGAGGTCACAACAAGGAAGCTAGTGATGGGAATAGACAATGCGCTCTTAAAAGTGATCGACTAACATTTGTAGCAGTCAGTGTTTTTACTCGCCTACATGGTCTATCCTGACTTTTGGTTAGATAAGATGTGAGCTTCATGCAAAAGCTGGTTTGCACTTGGAGGTTACTAGCTGATAATAAGGCTTCTATATTGGTGGAAGTTGTTAAAAAGTGGATTTTCTGTTCAGATTGCCAGCCAATTTCGAGCGTTGACTTCTCGAATTTCGCTTAGAAATAACCGGCTGAAATCCTGGGAACAACCATCTTCGCGGAGACTCATCTAGGGAAAAGACGGCATTTTCCTAAATTTTGAGTTCAATCTATGGTACTTTATAATCCCAGTCCTGGCATAATTTTCATGCTTTTTGTTTGAGTTTTGCGAATTTCCAATTGATACTTCCGAAATCGATCAACTTTTTCTCCGAGTTAAGAGCTCGAACGGTTTACGTTGAAGATTTTGATCAAATTTTTAATGCTTAAGGCATTATTTCCATTAAGAGTTTTGATTGTTGGTTATAAAAGCATAAAGAAACGGTAAGAAAAATACCTGTTGTTCGCTGCAGTTCAGTTCTACACAACGACATGCAGTCATTGCTGATATATTCGGTATTCAGACATCGCGATTTGAAGTAGGAAACGAGATGGTACTTTCTCTAACTGTGGTACACAGAGTAATCACTCAGCGTAACTTCTCGCTTTTATCATCAATAAAATATTCTATCCACAAACCAAATACGTTAATAAATTTTCCATAATAACTATGTTACTGGCTGTCATTGAAGATGCCACAGGCATTCGGATTTTGACAACGCTTCAACCAGTAACACTTTGTGTTATGAATCGTACCTACAAGGTGAGATCTAAAGACAGAAGCGAGGAGGTTCGATGATACATTTGATAGGCTATCAATATATCGAGGACCGTCTGATCTAATCTGGCTAGCGATTGCAGGGGTTGCTGAGCACGGCTTTCCCACTCGTGATCTGGTGCGGATGAATGACCGAGCGCCTTCAGCTAGGTGAGTCCATTAAAATTAATGTGATCAGCATCCAGTGTTGAAAACTCACAGAGCTATTTATTTTGGGGATTTATTTACCGCTACATCATAAAAGGACCAGTCGGTACAGACAATATTATGACTTCTGCGCAAGATCCCGTGGAGTAGGCAGTAATGTCATGGCAAGCCCGCAATATTGCATTAAGCCTACTTTTCTAGTAGCATAGATAACTGGATTAATATCGATTTAAACTTAAAGCCTACAGGTTTATGTGGAATGTTGGTTCTATGATTGCTCTTCAGTATTGTCAGCTAAATTCCTCGCGTCGTTCAGAAAAGGAAAGCCATTTCGGACGAGATGGGTCAGGTGCGCATCACAATCGGATCGTTTCCATCTGCTCTTCCAGATACTTGAAATATCTCAAAAGAAACCGAACCGTAAGCGCAGGAGATATTTTGGGTTTCCACACTGAATAATTACAGAACGTTGTATATGAGCAGGAAATCATTTATTATAGTACGTTATCCACAAGTTGTTTTCATAATCCCGACATAAAAGTTGAGTTGTTTCAATTTCCTCATAAAGTGAATTAAAAACAAACAACTGAACTACTAAGAAATGTAACTGACCAGCTACAAACATGTGATGCAATGAAACCGGCAAACAACACAGATAATCAGGTCAAAAAAGCAGGTAAAGCTAAGATTACGTAACAATCATAATTTTCCAAGTCCATCGGTCTGAAAGAAATCAACAATAATTTTCAATATGTATTTTCTAGCGATAAATAGATGGAACAGAAATATTAATAGACACATGAGTCAAAACTGAACGGACATAAACAGGTGCATCACAACAAAAAATTCGCGACATGAATATTTTAGCGCATCACGTCCACATTTCTCCTTAGTTCTTCATGAAAGTACTTTCGATTGGTCCACTTGCAATTTATGAACCAGATAACGAAAGAGCCAAGCCTCACTTCAAGTACCAAGGTTTATTCGCGGCTTACAAATAACCAACCTAATATATTGTTCCAATAGATACTACAACAATGACGCAGCGAACCTTCAGTATTAAGATTTCTGAAACATACTTCCAAAATGCCGAACATTAAACGATGTGAAAGAGAAAGTGCCCGAGTTCATAGTTATAAACACACAAGTTCAAAAGGTGAGTAAAACAAATGTATCCAAAACAGTAAAATCATTGATATTCAGTGTGATAGTTATTGATCACTCAAATACTCTCATCCCTCCCTGTATTATTCTAATCATTATTTGCAAGCAACTCATTAGAACATAATTGTCGTGAAGAAACCCAAAGTGCTTTCTTCCGAAATGTAGTTGTACACTAGTCTCGATAACGTTTGGGTAGTACTCGCTATATGTAAACTGGGTTTGTAGAAGAGTACTGAGTTGACTTTAAAGAAATAAAAGGAAAAAATTGAAAAAAGAATGAGGGAAACGTCAAATATGTAAATAATTTAATAAGCGTGTACGAGTGCCACAGATATTCAGAGTTTAACAGCACATTTACATGTAACACCTTTATGATTGAAGTATGCCAACCTAGAAAAATCAGAGGTGTGAAATGGAGGGCTTCTTAGAGGTTTGAGAGTGTCTAGGATAACGAATCAGAGTATGTCAGAGGTCTGTGACGTCATTTCGTATTGTTTAATGCCATCCATTTGACAATAAAGTTTGACGCTCGAGGATTCTAGTGATCCTCAGAATTTGTCTGAAGATGCAGCCAGTTCATCTACGGCGTTATTTTGGAATGACGCAAAGACTTTCTACACCTGTCGGGGAAGCTTAGACAAAAAGAGCCTTATAAACAAGCCCGTAAAATTTCGGTTGACCGATGACCTCTCACATACGTGAGAACATTTCTGTTACTGAGCCATGTTGAAGCTCAATGTTGGTCCAACTTTTGCCGGTCGGTCAGTCCTCTACATTTGAGAATAGACTTCCTAAGGTTCACTTGTAAACGTACTAGGTGTGACGTACCCGTTAAAATCGCACAGTAGTGCCTTCACTGATGCAAGGAATTGTGCTCGTGCGTCTGTCACGTCGTGTCTGTGGAAATCGGCTTTTGCGTAGCAGAATCAGGCCTCTATATTTTCGAGCTGTCATGGCATAAACTGAGTCTGAAGATGAGTGTAACCTGCATGCAATGATAAGACACTTAAATTGTTAATCAGAAAATGGATGCTACATAAAACTCTCACACTGCCTACTAATGGATACTGTATATGAAAAAAATCGACTTCACATTTCTTAACAGTTCTAAAACAACTACATCGCAAATTAAATAAAAAAGGTTGATCAGTAAAATTCTTTGTTAATTTGTGTACAATAGAATCAAAAGAATAATCTCTGGGTTGTTTTGGCGGGATACGGTTCGAATGCTTTCGATGTTCATATGCTCCGAGTTTGCAAAGTAGAATTCGCACCTTTGAATAGTCATCATGATGAAATACCTCAACATGGAAAATATCTTCAAATAAAACACGAGCATCAGAATCGAAATGAAGATCGTTCACTCAGTTGATCAGTGATTCGGTAGTTAAGTCCCTTCGTTCGGACACCTGCATTGAATTTCCTTGAGTTGGTAACTTTTTTTGCCATCATTTGTATGTGTAATATATGGTCAGTCTTAGTCCGCTCGTAAATTCTATCGGCTATGTCCGCCAGCCTATAGAAATCGACATCATCGTCTCCAATTGCTAGTGTCTGTTGGATGTTTCGCGAGTGATGTCTGAACCGCAATTGATATAATAGACGTTTGTCTACCATACGATTCTCCAGTACATTTGTCATGTAGTGTTTTTATTGAGGCGGTGTGTTGTCACCTAGCTCTACATTGGCTAAAATTTGATCAGCTGTCTGCTGGTTGGTGAGTGATGTAACATGAATGACCTCTCTTTCTAAGCAACCCTATGGTGAGTCAGGATCCGGCTAAGAAATGACGTCAGGCATTTGTTCAATAACGTCGTCCGGCAGCAACGAGTTTGCGTAACTAAATTTTGTGCTCTGATTTGTAATTCTGTTTCCTTTCTAAGCGTGCAAACCAGAGTTCAGCCTTTCGAGGATTAAAGATGGGTAAAGGTACAGAGGTGGCACCCACGGAAATGGACTTAGATAAGAGGATTAGTGAATTATCAGGTGACGTGATATGAAGAAATAATAATAACAGCAATAATAGTAAAACGAGGGTTGAAATACACAATACAAGGAAATGACAAATAACAACAAGAAATATATATGAGCCTCACCGAAAAAACTGTCACTTTGGGTTTAGATATGCGAATATACAGCAATAATTCCAAATGAACAATGTTATGAGTGAATTTATTATAACTGTCTATGAATTGTCAATAATTATAATACTAATTCCGATGTGAAGTTGTTTATGATACGACTGGGGAATATTCAGAAGACTTTGTAGAGTAATGGTACTTACTTACTAACTTACTTAAGCCTGTACTCCAAATGGAGCATAGGCCGCTGACCAGCATTCTCCAACCCACTCTGTCCTGGGC